TTAAGAGTATAAGTTTAAAATAGCTACTTCTCAAGAGAGCCTCAAGAAGAAGTAAATTATTGCTAATACTTAAATTATTAAAATAGAATTATATATAAATATATTTCAAGCTATATAATTTTAACCAATAAAAGCTAAGTATCCAACAAATCAAAATTCAATATAAAAAAAAAATTTCAATCTAATCTCTTAAAGCCTAATATGCTAAAAATATATTAAATATTTACATAAACATTTATATTTAAATCATGTAAAAGAATAAATATTAAGCTTCAAGTTTTTGGAATGAATAACTAACTAGAACTTTTATGCTAATATTAAATAAAAACAACAAGCTCATAATAAAACCAAAGAAACTTTCTCAATGGGCAGGCTGTTGGGCAAGGGCGACGCCATCCCCAATATGGGATAAAATCAAACATTCAAGGACCCCTTTCAAGGAGAAATCACATCAGTATCAGGTACTAAATCATTCATTTAATATGCCAGGCCTCTGGCGAGCCGTAAATAAAATAGAAATAGTGATAAATAGATATCAAATCATACTTAAGTAATAATAACAGTATAATTTCACACCGAAAGCCGGCCAGATTGTCAAGTGCGAAGCTATAGATCAAAGAAATGCTAAGTCCATATCGAGCATACTCAAGGAGGCTATGACATGATATTAATCAAAATGACAGAAATGGATCACAGGGAAAATTAGCATCTATGAAAGAGTGAGATAAGTATTGTGAAACATACTTGAACTTAAAGGTTGCACCACCTTTTTTCTTACTTTGTTTATAGGCTACTCTGTATATTTAAAAATAAAAAAATATAGTTGAAGTAATATGGATCTTTTTAGGTTCATTTTAGTTCTAAGTAAAGATAAAAAATATATATATTTAAAATTTTAAAATTATATATTGTTAACCTTAATTATAACTGTGCACACAAAACTCAATTATTTACTTATCAATTTATATCTTCTCACATAAATCAATAATGCACATCCTTGGTATCTTAAGAATTGATTATTTTTCGATACAAAGGCAACTAAGACATTTCATTTGATTGATTGCATATAAGAATAGTTATCAGTTTCAGTTAAAGAAAAAAAAAGGTATTGATAAAAACAAATTTAAAGTAGAAATAGAATTATAAAAATATTTATTTTCAATTGAAAATCTTAGCTAGTGTTTCAAATTATTCATTATTTTTTAAACTATTTTTTCTGTTAAATATGGAAGGTAGAAAAAGGAAATTTAGATGGTTTTAATGAAGCAGTAAAAATAATAACAAAAATATATTATGAAGGTCAAATAAAACTTAGCAATTTTTCTTTAAGTTAATTCCTAGCAATGAAAAAAAAAATCCATTACCAACCTCTAGTTTCAATGCATTTTTTAATTTTAAAAATAAACTTAAAGAAATCAGTTTAACAAAATGTTTATATCTTATCCTTGTAAATTATACTAATTTTTTAAAAAGATATTTATAGAGGAATGAAAATAATGTCAAAAATAAGTTATTTCTGTAGGATGAAAAATGAAATTCTTATTCCACAATTTTAATTTGGTCATTTCAAAAACGAGAAAAGTAAAAATTAAAACCACACATCAGTACAATCTTTTTTCTTAAAACAATACAACAAAACCAAAATTCATTTCTAAACCAGTGATGTGCCGAGGTTCTTGCATGCAATACCAAATGACCAGGAAGCAGTTCTTTGTTATATTCCTGAAGAATACATTAAATTGGTTTTGAAGTCCACTTAAACATTTTCAATCAAAGAATTGAGAAGATGTTTTGGAATTCAAGAAATGGTAGCTGACCATAAAAAAAAAAAAAAAAAATTGCCAACAAAATTCTACAAGAGAAGTGTTCCAAAAGAAAATTTGCTCCTTCAGCATAAATCAATTTTCAATATAATTCCAATAAAAGAGACACTACTATGCAAAAGAACTTAGTGATAGATTTAGTAAACATTCCTTCTTCCTTCTATTCATGTTTATTCAAATTTTATGGAAATTCATTAACAAGTTAATAAAACAATTTTTATTAATTCTAATAATGTGATTGTGTTTTTTTGAGAAAACGGATTAAATCATAACTCCAAGAGCAACCAACACTTAAATATTAATTCACTACTTATATTTAAAAAAAATTAAGATAAGTGTTTAGATCTAGGTAACTAATATACCTCTGGATGGATTATTCAGCTTTCAAAAATGATGATGAACAAAAAAACTAAACCACTAAAACACAGATTATTTTATTACAAGGTTAAATTCTCCAAAGTTTCAATTTAAAATTTGAGCTTCGACTATAGAGTTTACTTTTTAGCCTATAATTATACATCAAAGCACAAGAACCCTAAGGATGTTTGATCATGCTTGATTTCAACTTAAGGGTGACAGTTCCAAAAGTTACAAAATATTGGGTTGGTAAATAAAACGTTTTTTCAGGGTGAAACAAAACTCAATGTACCGTAGACATAAATTTTATTTTAATTTACAATATATTGACCATTATTTAATATGACTTTTTCCCATCTTTCCACTAACTGCATAATGCCATGTTTATAGAATGTCTGGAGTTTAACTAAAACTGATCCAAGTGGTTTTTGATTTCCTCTTCCTTTTGGAATTTCTTTCCATTCAAGGAGTTCTGCAGAGACTGGAATAAGTGGTGGAGCTAGGTCTGGTGAATGGGAAGGGTGGGGCAAAAGGTTCCATTCAAGGCTCAATAATTTATTGCGAGTGACTAATAAAGGAGTGGGGCCTAGTGTTGTCTTGGTGGAATACAACACCCTTCTGATCATAAATAACTCATCAGGATGTTCTCCAAATTCAATGTTACTATATCCATTTGAGAGCTCAATAATTATTGCTCTTCAAAGCTGTACGAATGGTTTTTGATCTCCATTTGTTGTTTGTTTACGAAGGTCCTGTTGATGTCATTTTGTTTAGTTTATGTAGCCCAAAATTCCTGCTAAATTCCTTGTAGATAGCTAAAGTCGTATTGAAGTTATAACATTTTTTGTGATTTTTGAAAAAAAATTATGTGAAGGATCCAAACATTAACCCTGGAAACAGCCGTGCTTGTGCAAATGGTTTTATAAACTTGAGTGCGACACATTTAGAACCATAGCAATCTCTCACACTGATTGGGTGGGATTTTGATTAACAATGGCCTTAACATTGCTCGTTTAAATTTCATATGGGAGACAAGACCATTGAGCATCATTGAAATCAATATTTCTTGCATGAAATTTGGCAAACGAATTTCAATAGATGCGTTCGGTTAAGGCATCATCCCCATAAATATTACAAATTTTTCTATGAGCTTCTGCAGCACGCTTATCTTTTTTTAAAATAATGCAACAAAATATAATGATAATGAATGATATTTTCATCCATATTCACAACGCAATAGCAAACACAATCCTAAGATAGTTTCAACAAGAGTTAACAGATATAGTTGTTGACATATTACAAACAGGATAAACAATCCACCTTAGGGATTAATTCATCAGATAAGAAATGTATCATAGTGACATAAAAATTAACAGAAAAACGTAAAGGACTGACTTATTTGCCAACCAAATATCATTTTTAAGTATTAAATTTTAAATGAAAGAAGAGAGAGTTAAGAAAGAAAGATTTATATATTTTTCTATTTTTTTAAGTTATTTCAAGAGATAGTATACAACAGTAATTAGGTATGGCCGAAAATGGCCGAGAGATCTGCTGTTTCACCGATGACTCCATAACTCACTCAATCGTCGATATACCAAGGCCACTATCAAGAAAAATTCAAAGTTCAAAGAAACTAATCATTTTACATCAAATGTTCTAGATTTCCAACTGCACAGTTGCAAGTGTCGTAAAAGAATACAAATAAAAATATAACAGTTTTTATTTAATAATTTATTGAACGTTAGCAATTTTAAATAACCACTTTAGATACAACACATACTGGCTATATTTTTTTAAAATTTTTATTTCGGTTGGTGCTACATAGCATGAAGATCTTTGACTGCTAGATGTGGTCTCCTAGACGACATCCTGATTCCCGATTTAAGTACACAGGGGTAGGGTCATTAGTTCTACGCCCAATACTGGCTATATAATTCATTATAAATTTCAACAAATTTATCCAATAAGGTTATTTCTTCCATTTTCTTTTTTCTTTTTTTTTTTCATCTCCACAAATTGTAGCTTGTATAATATTTTGATTGTTATCAGAGTTTCTTTTTTAATGTAATAATTATAAAAAATAATAATTAAAAAAAGATAATTTGCTTAAAAGATCAGTAAATAAAATTGGATCAAAAAATTCCTACATTGAGTACAAAATCCTAAGATCAGCAAAAGCAATTCTATTAAAATTTCAAAAGAGCAAAATAAATACATATGAGTAAGAAGGAACTACTATTTTTAATAAAATTTATCATTGTCTCTTTGTTTCTTGAAGCTGGTGACAGAGCTAAATCTAATGTTTATCTAGGGAGAAGGGGAAGAAGGAGAGTAAACACAAACAATACAAAAGGGTTGTTTATTGTAAAAAATTAAATTTCTTTCCAAAATAGTTTAAAATACTACAATATAACAATCAACAAGGTCAATATCAACTACAATCAGGAACGAGAATCAAAACTAACATATTTGTCATTAAAAATACTTACATTCATAATTATCACAATTGGCTGCAAACATTTTAACAATTATAAATGAATAACACTAATAGAATTCAACATAAAAGAATAAAACACCATAAGGAGGTGATTGTCAATTATTTAATATTATAATGTTGAAAATAATCAACTATAGAACTCATAGTAAAGAACAATTGAACAATAATAAAAGTGCAAAAAATTAAAGATCTGTGATTTATATTCTTTTGTAGATTGTATTTGCAGATTATTACAACGAGGAGAAGTTAAGTACAAATACTCAATATAATTACAATAAAGCAGGTGAGATTTGAAAGTGACAGAGAAAAGTAAATAAGTGCTAACTTATATACATGTGTTTAAAGTCGAGACTCACCTTGTCGGAATCAGTCGTGTTCCCAGAGCCAAAGGAGGCTAAGGAACCCCTGTCTAAATTTTCAACGCTTTCATCAAGTGAGCCTGTTTCTTCCAAATCTCTGAAAAAAAACAATGATATTTTGAATGAATTGACGAATAATAAATTTTAATATTGTTAAAAAAATGGAATAAAACTGAGTTTTAAGGGAATATAAATCGATTAATTTTTTTAACATAAATATCTACTTAAAACTATATTTCCCAATCTATGAAAGAGGTCACATAGTGGCTTTAGCCACGTGATTTGCAGAAATGAAATGTCAGCCATATCACATTTACTATTTAGAATTTTCAGAAAGTTGAGGCATTTGTAAATTAATGATTCCAAAATTCCCAGTGCAGTGAGTTCAAACTATATTCTTTGATTGGAAACTTTTCAATGATTGTTGATTCAATGTTTAATAAATAATTTAAATTTATTTTCTCTGATTATTTAAAAGTTTCATTTACAAAATAGATTTTAATTTAGAATAAGCAACAGCCTAGACAACAAGAATAACATATATGATAAACAGAACAAAATTTTGTATCTCGTACAGATTAAAAAAATAAACAATATATTTCTTTAATTTAAGTAAAAGGACTTTTCATTCTAAAAAGAAAAGAAAATCGTTGAAATAATGCATAACTATATAAATACTACTCTCACTAAGTAAACTATACACATTGATTTCTATTTTGGTCAAAAACATTAGCTCATTGATAGAGTAAAAGCATTATCAATTCAAGGAGAACTATCAAAACCAAACATAGAGGAGAATAGCGGCGCCCAGTCCTTATTAGCTTAGAGAAATAGATATACAGCCAGGATAAATACTCAAATCACCAACAGATGATGTAATCATAATTTATACTCGGATATTTAAACAAGTTTTTATGAATAGTAAATAGATACAAAAAGTTTTATCAAATTGTGTTTCTTAAATTATCATGATTTGTATATATTAATTTCATATAAAAATTGTATTTGTTTTTAAAATAAAATAAATATTCGTTTTTTTTTATAGTTATCAGTTATCTTTATCTTTTTTAGACATAAAGAACATGCTTGTATGCTCATTTAACTTTGAAATCTAAAAAAGTAAGAAATGTAAAAAAAAATAATGCAGACATAGCGGGACATTGACAATTATATCCTAATTTCAGAAAAATAGAATCATTTTGGTACTCGATTTTTATTACAAATAAACAGGCTAAGCAAATAAATAATTCATAATTTATACAAGATTAAACAAAAAACTGAATTACTGAAATAAAATAACTATCTCGATCCCTTTAACTTCAACTTAAAACTAAATTATTTTCTTATTTTAAAAATGATGCAGTAACTTAAGTCTTAAACTTTGTCATCTACAATAACTAAAAGATATAATCAGTAAAATTATAAAAAGACAAAAATAATTAATAAACCTTTATGTAAAAAATTGACCACGACTAACATTAAGCTATTTAAATAAAAATATTTTAATTGGCCACAATACCTGCAACTAAATATTGGGTCAATGTATCGATAAATAGCAAATATACCAGTGAATATTCTATTTTCAAAAACAGGAGAGAACATCATTGGGGTGATACACATTGTTTTAGTTTAAATTAACAGTCACAATAAACTGAAGGATAACCAAACAGACACAACAAAGTAAACACTTATCCCTTTCATCAATGGCTTCCTGCCATCACATCAAATCCAATTTGCCCAACTGATTAGCTAGGCAAAAGAATTGCATATCGTTACGTAATCCAAACATATATTAAAGACAGGTTTTTCTGGATTTTAAATAACACATCAAATAAGTTAAATTATAAATAAAAAAATAATAAGTTTTATATTATTGTGGGCTCAAAACCGTGAAATGAATTCAAAACTTTGAATTGTATTAATAAATTAATACAATGGGGAGAAATAATCATAATAAAAGACATAAACCAGGATTAAATAATAAGAATTAGAAAGTTTTCAAAAATTATTATCATCCAAAAATTAAACTAGGTTTAAACAATAGCAACAAATTGAGCAAATACATTATTAACACAAGGATAAAATAGACACACTTCATAAAAAAATGTTATTTACAAACTACAATGCCAAAGCTTCTAACAGATAGACACAAGAGAAATCTCTGAAAATGTAAAAAAAATAATAGTACAATATATATCAAACTGCAAAAACATAAAGAAATATTAGCACCACTGCTCCAGCATATTAACTTCAACTTTAATGATTCACAAATAATAGGTATTGAACAAAAAATAGCAATAGAAAACTATTACGAGGCCATACACATCTCAAAAAACAATACCACAAATGTAAATTTTAAAACTGACAAGAAACACACTATTCAGACATCAACAAAATTAAAATACAATAAAACAAATAAACATAATCAAACCAACATACAAACAGTCCATAGGGGGAGGGAGAACAAACAGACAGTGAAGTACAAAGTATAAAAGTAAATCAATTACTTCATAAAGGAGGCCAATTGGAAGACAAGAAATATGTTGCCCCTGATAACGATAAAGTCAAAAAATGAAAAAGATATGTTACTGACAAAGGAGCACAACAACAAAACAGATAAATGCTATTGTATTCTATAATGTCCCTATATTATAGAAAAGAATCGTAACAAAAGCACAATGCAGTTCTAGTGATGAAAAAAATATTCCCAAAACGTTAACTTGCAAGGATATGTGACAAATACATTGATTATATGCCACAAAGGAAGTTTTTTTTTTTTTTGCTAATGAATAGTAATCTGAAACTATTCAAAAGAAGACATAATAAAAGATTTTTTAAGGAAAAAAAATGAACTAAGTCAATGAAATGTTTGTAAGCTTGGTTCCAAACTTCTTCCATCACTTCTTGTAATAATTATTGGAACACATATTATAAAAGGAGGAAGGACTTAATTTAAACAACACTATTTTCTTTCTTAAAATTGTTCGTACTTATTATAATAGATATTTATCCATTCAATTTTTAAAATTTAAATGATATCAAGGTACATAATTACCTGCTCGATCTCTGGCTGCTTCCCTTCAATTTTGCAGGCGACTTTGGTAATGAGAGCGGAAGGGCAGTGCTGAAGTAGGTTTCTTGGATAACTTCTCTTAATTTCTTTACCCAGGCCTGTTTACTTTCTAATGATGAGGCCTACATATAAAAAAAAAAAAAAAACTAATCAGAAAAATTTAAATAAAAATTCATAAATAACAAAAATATATCAACGGCTAGCTCCAAAAACAAAATTCACTAAAATTTTAAGTCTTATAATCGTCAGGATTTTTTAATACAGGAAAAAAATCTTTTTTTTTACTTTTCATTAATAGAAAAAGGGTATTTTGTTTCCTTGTGTAAAATTAAAATTTAAAATTTTAATGGACACGCAAGGTTTTATAGCCATCAATACACACTATAAGTTTGAGAAAATTCAATTTTTATTTAAATAAAGACTACTAATTTTTTTTTTTTTTTTAACACAAACGTATATATTTAAGAAACATACATTAGAAGTTCTTCTTTGCCTAATAAAACTTATAAGTGCCAAAAGGTAAAATGTCTATCAATGTTTTAATTTTTTAAAATTAATTACAATACTTTTTCCAAAAGAACAAAATTTAATTAAAAATGTTCTTCATACTACTTTCTTTTACATAATAAATTTTATTTTACCAATTGAACTAAAAATTTTATATACACATAATGAATTAATCATCAAAAAGTTGTTAATAACTATATAATACTTACTTTAAGTACTATCCTATAGTCAGAAATGGGTGCTCGTCCTGTCCAAACTGCAAACTTGCACTCATCACCTTCTATATGCTCAGTTACCCCAAGCTCTGAAGTCTACAATAACACAAGAGACAATAGAATATTAACTATAGCCACTAGGGAGGAAGAATGCTACATAAATATTCATCAACTTCCTTAAATAACGTTTCATATTCCCATCCACATGATATAATTATTGAATATTAATCACTTATAAAATATTTTTGACAAACAGATAAAACAAAACATAATATTAACAATTCAGAAATTTTTATCCTCCATCCCTAATAAATCCCTCAACTTACAGATTGATGAGAAAAGAGATCATAACTATAAAATGACAAAAAAAAAAAAAGAAATTTAAGAAAAAATTATAATCCAATATGATTAATATGAAGAATAAATAATTCATAAGATATGTGACATCTTAGTAATTCATAATAGAATTTTTATACTTATGATTAAAAAATCTATTCAGTAATTGGAAACATAATAATTAATGCTTTAAATTTATTTAAAAATATAACAATAATAGCAAAGCAAACAGACGTACATAGACATTTTTTTTTTAAGTACATAAAATAAACAAATTAAATTATTATTATTTTTAATAATGAAATATTAGTAGAACGATAATGAAATCTGCATCTATCCTTACATTTATTATTTCTGAATAATACTTCAAAATTATAAATACATAGATGGTTACAGAAAGCTGTCATATTTTCTTAGAAATGTGCAAGAGCCTCAAAATACACTTTGAACAATTTTATAGCTACCTTGTTTAAACACTATAGGACTTGTTAATTACAAAGCATTTTTTAAAGACAAAGGCATACATTGCAAGTATTTTTAGTAATTAAGTAAAGATAAAGGGATAAGGGAATTTATTATTTTTTATTAATTAATTTATTGTTTATATCAAAACTCTCAGGAAAGTTATCTCATTAGAAAAATAAGACAACTCTCATCCTAATTACATCTAAGTGATTCCGTCCAATAAATTTGAATTAAAGTTAGATTTTTAAATGATGAGTCATTTTCACCCCAACTCGTTCATAAATGCACTCAATTAAAAATCATAACTGAATATAATCAGTTTCAAATTAATTTATTAAATTATAAATGCTATTTTTTTCTACTTTCATATAATTAAAAAAATAATTTACTTGAAATCTATTCACAAACAGATTAGCTCATACAATACAATTTATATGAATAACTCACCATTAGTTTGTTTTTATAAATGTACTTCGCTTTTCCTTGGGAATCTTTAACTTCTTTGGAAAACACTAAGTAAAGTTCAAAAAGGAAGCAATGCCTTTCCCTAGACTTTCTGAGAATTTGCTTTGGATCCCAGACTTGAAGAGTGTCCTGAAGGACAACGTCACCCAATTCCTCACTCCGAAGATCACAACCTTCAAGAAGAGATAAATGGAGAGCATCGTTGGCTTTCTTAGGAACATTTAACATCACTTCAAGTCCATCCTAAATTTAAAAAAAAAACACTGTTCATATGGTGATATTTTAAAATTTAATCTAGCATTAGTATAAAATATTTATATAATAGTTTTAAAATGTCTTAAATAGTAACCTCTTTGAGTTGAAGCAACTTATCACGCAGAGGTTTGCTCAATAAACAGTAATGAACTGTTGAGTCTTCATTCTCAATTGTTGAATTTGGAACACTGTATATATGTTTTATATCTTCATTACTAATACTTAAACCTAATCTATTTCCAATCATTTGCACAAATTTTGAAAGTTTATCCTTTTCTATTTCTAATAATGTATTTAAATCCGGATTAGTATTTTGTGAATAAGACCTATAGTAGCTCATTCTCTGGGAAAGATAAGTGATCTGTCGATCTTTTGTTACAATTAATTTGTACAAATCAGGAATGAGCTCTAGTTTTTGTTGTACCTCATGGTATCGATCAACTAAAGATGTTTGACAATTTTTTAATTCATCTAAATTCTTCATTATAGCACTAAAACGTCCTTCAAACAGGGTAAGTCTTTTATCAAAATGGGAGAAATATTGCTTTAATAATTTTAAACTGGGACTGTCTGGCTGCACTTTGTACTCCATGGTTTCTTTTATCTTTCACTTATGTTGTAGATTCTACTAACTTCAAGCTATTACAATTATGATAATTCAAACTAGAAATATTTGGAATTGACACACAACAGTGTCATCAAAGAGCACATTTTGTTTACTAATGAAACCAGATCATGACATAACCTACACAGAATTTGAAGAAAAAATGAAAAACCTAATTATTAGTAATGAGGAAAATTATAATTTATAACATAATATTTTACATCAATCTATACAAATAATAAACTATTATTGCGAAAGATCAATAAAAAGATATCAAAAACAGGAAAAATTCACTCTTGAGCATAGTTCATAATATCACAGAACCTAAGAATGTATTCACGTGATAACAAACATATTGATAACACAGACTTGCAACTTCATATCTCATAATATTAGATTGTTGCCAAGGACTCTAAGCATAAAAGAGAAAATGTGATAGAAAACAAATTTTCGACTAGCACTCAGTTTGAAAGCCCTAACACTTCTGAGACATACACACACCTTAATTGACAGTTTTTTTTTTTTATCAGTTAGGAGATAAATACTTGCAGATTACATAATTGATAAAATAAATATTATCAATATCGAGCCACCTAATAGAATAAATAAAATAAACAATAAAATGCTATCCTACACATATATTTAATTTGTTTTTCTTTTAATTAATTCATACAGATATTAATGGCCCAAAATTTAATTTATACATTTCATATAAGATGAAAAACTATACAAAAAGGAAATATTTTAATTCACTTTTATGTCTTAAGGTGTGCACTTTTTTTTTTTTAAACTAAAAATATCAGAAATTTACAAATAAAATTTCTAAAAACATTATTCAACCTCCAAATATAATTTTTTTAATTACTTCTTAAATAATTAATAGTGCTTTAAAAAAAAAAGTTGAGACACAATTTCATATTATTAAGTTAATATATAAACATGTAATTGTCATTACTTAAAAAAAAAAAAAATCAATTTAGTTACATCATTGATTAAGTTTAAGAAGGCAGATAATTTATAGATTTTAACCAGAGCTAAAAACGGAAAAAAAATTTAATTTTAAAAAGTTTTGGTAACAATGTAATTTTTATTGTCAATAGTATTACAGTTCTTTTGTAATTAGAACTTTTTCTCTTGCCACTTTTCAAGTAAAGGTATGAGGGAACTATTTTTTAAAAAAAATAGTTTATTAAAAAGTTCTGTCGATTTCGCTTAAAAGCCGATCTAAGAAATACTTTTATTCTTTCCTACTCAAACAAATGACACATTAGAATCATGTGCAATTCATTTAAGACAAATCATAAATTTAATCTAAGCTGTTTATTTAATTACTGTTTATTTTTCATTTAACAGAACTTTTTTTAAGTACTTGTATAAATGCAAGTCACACTGATACCATAATTATGGATCTTTATTACAAAAAAGTTCCTAAAAAATTTTATTTTAAGAACTTTTCCCCTAAAAAGTTTCACAGGAACTATCAAAATGAAACTTTTTATAACAGTTCTATACAAGTTTCAATCCCTGATTTTAACAGCTACAGCTCCATTAGGTATATTAGTATTAATAACTCCTACAAATAAAGTACCTTTATTTCTCCTTGACCCTCATCACAGCAGGACTGGAGGTCTTTTAATAACAGTTGGTATTTTGTTATTCGTTGGACCGGTTTTATGAGGTATGCTGCAATAGGATGTTCAACTCGATGTTTCTTCTGTAATTCTTCGAAAAACCCACTGCTATGGGAAACCAAGATTGAGTTTGATTCCGGCTTATTTTTACAGTACTCAACGTACATGTCAAATTTCAGAGCCTATAAAAAACAAATTCAAACTTCTTATCAATAATTAATATAAAATAATTGTATCAATTTAAATAACAATTAAAAAATAATAATCAAAACTTGGCTTCTTTAGTAGGCTCATTAATGTTGATATATCCGTCTACTAATAATAGCACATATTTAAAGAATAAGTTTTTAAACAATATTTTCTACAACCTTTTTTTTTATTATTAGTTTAGAGAAATAAATGATAGAAAATTATAAAAAAAGGTTAAGAAGAAAACAATCTTCTTCAAGAGCAAAAATTGGAATAGACAATTATTTATTACACCATGTAAAAGTAATGATCATGACAATAATTTTTATTTCACAAATTTAATTTTTACTTACTTATATAAACATGCCGTTCCCAGATTTGAATAAATAAAAATCAAACTTTGCATCATAAACTAATGCTCTTAAATAACTATTATCGGTAGAGGAATATATTTTCTTTAAAAAATTAAATAGAAGAGCGAATCATTTTTCTTAGCCTGAAAATCTTTTTTTAATTTCATTAAAAAAAAAAACAGACAATAACTTTATCTTTACCGAAGCAGAAACTACCTTTAAATTATAAAGCAATATTTTATACTATTTGACATACCCAGGTGACAAAACAATGGCCAACATCTTCAGGCATTGTTTCATATTTCTCAAGCTCCTTCAAAAACACATCTCGATGAAAGTCTCTTATGTCTTCTATGTTACCAAAAATAATCGACTCCCGCCCTTGAATACCCGGTGGTACAGTATCTGCCCTGCGATACTCTTCTAAGAAAACCTGTACGTTGAAAAATCAAAGTTAACAACTAATAAAAAAAATAATGTTTTTTTGGTTTATTTAAAAAAAAATAATTTACCTTAATACATGTGTCAAGATCTTTTACATATGTCCTTTCTGTTTGTAACAACTCAGCCATGATGAACCTAAAAAACAAATTAAATTTAACTATTTTTAAAGATTTAGATCACAAAAATAGAATTCAGTAATAAAAAAACATGGTAAAAAATAATTTTTATTTTAGAACTGAAACTTTAATTTTTTTTTAATGTTACTAATGTTTAGTCATTTTTTATACTTGTGACCTTTTGTTGATATCGTTAAGGGTGAAGATGACTGAATTAAGTGCACAAAACTACTAAAAAAATAAATAAATAGTTTTAGAATTTTCCAAAGATATTGTAATAATAATTGTCTTTTTTTTTGCTTTCATCATTAAATTAAACAAATTAATCTTTAACAAGATTAATCTATGGATGAAGTTTCTGGTGCCAATCATCAGTATATTTTTAGGTAACTGTTGAAGGATTTAGAGAGATAAAATATATTTCAATTATTCCTTAAAAGAGTAAGTGACCCAGTTTCAATTTGCCAATGCATTACAAATAATCTTAAGGTTATAGAAATTAATTTTAGATTTTATCTAGAGTGTTGTTGACATTAATGATGTTCCATGAGAAGTTTATACTTGATAAACGTCACCTATCGACATTCTTTCTTCATAATGGATAAACTAATTTAAAAAAGAAATAGAAATGTCTTAATAACATTAGATTCCATTTAGAGCTCATCTACTTCATCCCTTTTATGAAACAATAATTGATACGTTAATATAGAAATAAAACTTACTATTGGTCGCCATATTTAAAAGAATAAATCAAAATTACAAACACTCTTATTAATTGTTTTTAAGAATAAATTTTTAAAAATTTCATATAGAACCCGCAAAAGAATAAACATACAACATAAGGATAAACAAAATTTCATTCAAAAATATTTTAAATATCATTCACTTACTCTTTTCTCCTAGCTGATCTCCTTTTCTCTTCGTTCAGTTCTTTGGTTGTTTCTTTTACTTTAGCTTCAAGATTAGGATCGGAGTTTCGGTCGATACTTAGCTCTTTACTTTCCTCTTCTTGGATTCCAAGACGCCCTTCCAGTTGAGATCTGCAATATTTAGATGTGTGAGAAAGTTCTGGAAGTGATTTCAAAACCACTCTAACAGTTTTTCCTTGATGAAATGAGTTACTTCTCTGAACATTCTTGCGATTTTTATTGTTACCATGTGTTGCCCTAGGAAGAGTGTGACATTGATCCAACGGACAAGAAAAACTCCTATTATATTCATGAGGACCAAGAGTTCCTCTATCCTTTGAGGGGATAGCAGATGTTCTGATTACCTGAGAGGTTCCATCATATAAATAGCCATCACTGTCCTTCCTTAATAAGCTTTGCTGGGAAACACTACTTTTAAAAGACCAGGGAATAATAGAACATTTAAATTTTAAGGGACTACTGGGCTGATATTCAAAGAACTCGTGGTGAACCATTGGTTTATCGAATGGTTTTGAAAAATCAGCCAATTCGATTGATTCCACAATTTTGACCTGAGTTTTTATTGTCATCAACCCCATCTTTACAACCAATTTATATAAAGTTCTACATCTGACCTAAACAAAATTGTATACTAAAGACAGTCACATCAAAATGACTCAAGTGGACAAAGCTAAATAGAGATCAGTTTGCTCACTGATAACAAGACGAGAGCAAAGAACGTTCAAGGAACACCCTATCATCATACTAAACCTAAGAGTACACAAGATAACAGATATTTTGATAACGATTAACTTTTTTTTGCTTATATTTGTACATCACCTGCAAATTTCTTTTTTGGAATATTTTAATCAAATTCATAACAATTCTAATGTGATTTAAAAACAAACATTTTACATTGTGTATATGTATATATATATAATATAATATATATCAATCTATAGGAAACAGTTTTATTTAATAATTTCAGTTGATATTCAAAAATAATAATCAATAATATCAGATTGATAATTTTAAATCATATGAAATATGACTTTTTAATCCTTAGATAACATTTTTTTAAATAAAATAAAAAATATAATTTTTTTTATGGCCGGAGTTAGCAGTCGTATTTAATGACATGCTGTAAATAAGTATAGAGCATATAAAAGTAATAAATCAGAGGAAATAAATAGTACTAAATATTTATGACATAAACAGCAGAGAAATTGTCCACTGATAGGTAATATTTTCCTAAGCATAATATATTTATTTAAAAAAAAAAAATATGTAGAGCCTGAGAGCTTTAGGTGTGACGTTCATTATACTCCAATTATTATATTAATTATATTGTATTATTATTATTTCGTTATATGCAAATCTGTACAGACACTACTGAGATAGAAAAATGAGTTAAAGAAACAAAGAAAAAACAATAAACAAAAGATTTTTTTTTAGAAATGTATTATTATTATTAAAAAAATTCAAATTATCATAAAGAAAATAAAATAAAAAAATATATTTCCATTAAATATAATTAAATTATATTCATAATTTATTTTATACAATATATGTTAATTACTTTAAAATACTCTGAAAATTATTAAATACTATTAATTCAAAATAATGATGGATAGCTACTTAAAATTCGTACTAGCGTATTGTACAGACAAAATAAGTAGAGTTCAAAGGCAGAACAAAGACAAAACATATCCACTGATCTGTACCACTCCAATCCATGAGGAATATTGGGTTCAGTAGTTTAAAAGGGAGTAGTTTCATGGATGAAGCGATTTGACTGATAACTCAGGCTCCAAGTTTTTTCTGTTTAATTAATTATGAGTACACATTATACAGAGGCTGATGTAGCAAAATAAATAGCTACCTGCCACAGCAGGGCTCAAACCCAGGACTCAAAGTATAGGAGTATAGTGTATTACTCAAAAACTAACCTACTCCCTATTTCCAACGAACTAACAAGCAAGTTTATTTTTTATTTTACATGCATTTTTTTTAAATGCGGTATTAAAGATTTGTATTATGAATGAAAAAATTCTTAAATTTTTTTTTTCAGAAGAATATAGAACTTATATATATTTCTTTAAGATAACTAACCTATACTTGTCCATGCGAGAAGAGAAATCTTTATATGTATTGTCGACAGCAGCGACCCAAGCTTTGATTTCACTAGCGTGGGCATGTCCCTTCTCAACAAGGCTGTCGGCAAGTGAAATGAGAAGTTTTACTCTTTCCCTCGTTTCTTTTGCAGCACCTTTAAACTCATTGTGTTCGCCAAGCAATGATTCTGTCTCCTCCTGTACGTTAAAACAAAAAAATGTTTATGTGATACTATATAATAAATAAAATAATGTAGTGTATAATATATTATTAGAAAAATGAAAACTATATAAAAATGAAATCTTTTAAAACAAAGCAGGTATCACTTTAATTCTATCATTTTGTAGAACCTACATAAGCTGCTTGATATTGCAAAGATGGATTAATGTAACTGGAATTACTTGTACAACAGTTGAAGTTAGAATTAACAAAATTATTCAAAATAGTTTAATACTTCGACATTTAGTACAAAATTAATTTTTAAAAACTGAAAGTAATAAAAATTCTGAAGTTCATCAATTTATAATAAAAACATAATGAGAATTTTCAATGGGAGCCTAGATAGCTTTTGAAGAACTTCAAAAGTTTCTATTTTACTTATATAAAAGATAAATTACAAAAGATTGTTTTGAAAAAATTGTAAACAGAAAGCACATGTCCAGAGTTGTTTACAGTACCATTCATATATCACAAACATACTTGTAATTTTTAATTTACATGCAGGAATAGTGATAAGACTTTAGAAATTCATTCAACGTTACAATTTTTTTCAGCAGGAGTTCCTTGATAAAAACTTCATTTAAAGAGTAAGTCGTGAAGCACTGAACAAACGGTAACATTTTCATTACACATTTGATACTTCTCATAGTCACATGATAGCACCAAAACTATTAATAATTTATTAAATTCGTTCAAATCTTCGTTCGCAAGCTTCACAAATTGTGGTCGGTCGGATAATTTGGCACTTTGAAAAAAAAGGTTAAAAAATAAATAAGCGGGACCCACTTCCTCCCCCTCCCCCCACACTGCAGTCCTAAGGACACAGCGTATTGCAAATAAAGTATTTGGCCTTGTTTCAAAACACCTCAACTATAAATAGTCTGTTACAAATACAGAGTGTTATTAGGGGCAGTGGACTACGACACAGGTTCTTCTTAAAAATAATTACAGCTGGCCATAAAAATTAATGAATTGTTGAATACTTTTTATACTGAATAGGTAGGTGATAAGAATAATATTAAAATCAAAAGCTTTAATAGTAAAGTAAATATTAACAACTATGAAATATTAAATTGAAAACAATATGATATGTGTACTTGTAATGAAGCATTACTCGTATTTAATACTACATAAAATGCTCCTAAATTTAAAATTTTAGAATTACAATAGCAAGATTCTGTGATTGGAGAAAGTATAATATACACTGTTGTGGTTATTTAATACATAATAATTATAATTATAAAGATACAATATATTATATGAGATGTTTTCTTATTAGAACATACAACTTATCTTGATTGGAATATTTTAAACCCTAAAGTCATATTAAGACAGTAATAGCCACTAACCCTTCACTTTTTATAATCACATAAATTTTTACTACACAAGGCTAATTTCTGAAACAACTTCCCCTCCCTCCCAAATTTAATTTATCTTTTTTTAAATAGTCAATTAAAAAATAAAATAACATATATCTTGATTATATTTATGTAAAATATGTTTATGTGGAACTGAAAATTTAAATATATATCAATTTTCAATCCAATTTGTCTTTTCTATAAATAATTAATATTAATCATAAAATGAAATAAACAGAAAATAATGTGAAGTATACATGTAATTAATAATTACTTATTGCATTAAAATAAATTGTTCTGTTCCCCAAAATTACTCACAGCTGTTTATTCCAATCAGTCATTTTTTCCCATTGCAGTCTAAAAACTTCATTCCAGAATGAGATTAATACTGTGTAGTTATTCAATTTTAAATAGTACAAATGATTTCAATAAAGAAAAAAAAAACCTTCCATGGCTTAAGAACAAGACAAAGACTACTATTTTAGCTACTCGTAATTGGCGTGTAATATATATGAATATGTGTGGTCAATCATATCTGAACAAAACATTAATTTTGATTTAGATACTAATTTAATATACAATTCATCTATATGAGTCTAAATTGGCCTCATTCAAGACTCTTAGCTATTCGAAAAACTTCTTAGCTTGAATTTGTGTCTCCATGTTTATAAGGATGAAGTATTGATACTAAGAACACTTCCAAAATTTTCAAGGTGAGCCCAGTATTTAATAAATAACTGAGGATTTATTATTTAAAAGGAATAATCATCAACGATTTGTTAACTTTACCTTGTTGGTGCCAATGTTGGTATGGGTTTCGAGATAACGTTCACCAGTTTCTTGTATCCACTCCATCGCTTGTCGTGCAGATGTTTCAAAGAGGACAAACTGATGGCACTGATCTAATCGTTTCTTTCGGGATGACCAATGCTCCAAGACTTTATTCTCTTGACTTAATAACTTATCCAATATCACTACAAAAGAAAGAATTTTTCATTAGAGCATAAAAATAATTTAAGATTAATCAGCATAGATATAAATATTAGTTGAATATGGATCATCATATCAAATGCTGGCACAATCATTATGATTTTGTCATTGTCAATTATTAATTGTAAATAAAATATAATTACAATATTTATTTTTAACAATAATAGAAATACAAAAATATAATATGTAAAAGGTATTTTTTCACCCAAAAAAGTTCAACACTAGGAAATATATAAAATAATTTTATATAAAAATATAAAAGATATATTAGTAAAGTTGTAGACCACAATTAACATGACTTATTATACCCTGTATAAAGATTACAATAAGATTTTATATAGTTTCAATTTTTTCTCCATATTCTCCATGTTTTAGAAAAGTTAATAAATAAATTCACTAAAATATCTATTATTTTATAAACATGCCATTAATTTGTGAACATCCACAATAACTCACATTTTTTCCTCTTGATAGATTTCAAGATTTCATAATCTAACGGAAGTAAAGGTGTGTGATAAGTAAAAAAAAAAATCTTAAATTTCACACAAGCAAATAATTACAATATTCATTAATAGGACAGTAATTTCAGTAATAACAGTGTTTTTTAAATTAGGTTGGTTCAAGCTATTTAGCATTCTATAGTCTATTGGAAGATTGTTCATAATTTTAAATATACGTAATCATGGATTGTGAATAAAAAAATCATTTATAACCAATCCTTTTATTAAAAATTCCCCCCGAGAATAGCCAGTATGGAAATATGATCTTTTGACAAATACTAAAAACAATCACTGTTCACTAAACTGTAGCTTATAAGAGACTATTGTTACCCATTTGAAGTTATGACTCAGAAATATAGGTTCTGAATTTTCAAAAGTAATGCAATATATTGTAAATGTTCTTTACAAATGTAATATACTCAATAACAACTTGAAATTTTTTTAGAAGATTAAGTAACCACTGGTGTCCTTTGGCAATATAATTTTAGTAAAATCAAATTCTGAAGACTTTCATTCCTTTATTGACCAAGAAATCTAACAATTTGATGGTGAAAGAGCAAACTTATAATAATTTCTCTTAATGTAACATAAAATTGCATTACCTTTCACTCTCGCCTCAGGACCAGCTTCTGATGTTGGGTAATTGTAATACTGTAGACTTCGTGACGTGTACTTCAAAAATGTTTCTGCGGTTCTACGAGCTAAGGTGCAGGCCTTAAGAAAAGCTTCTTTCTGCTCCTGGTGTTTCGCCACGAGTTGTGCCATTGAGTTAGCGCTAGTACCTCCATTTGTTGCATTTCCATTTGTAGTTCCACTACCTCCTCCGCACCAGTCTTCTTCTCTTTTGTACTCTCTTTCTAGGCTATCAAGTACAGAACATACCTGAAAAGAAGAAAATTGTATCAAAGCAGTGGCTAATTTGAAACAAAAATGTTTGAGAAATCTTTCTCAAATTGTATCAAACTTCAAACTCAATAGCAAACTTCTAATGACTTTATGTGACATTTTTCTCTATACTTAATATATTAGTTCAATTTAAGTTAACTAATATCAGTGATAAGAAGGATAGTAATTGATGGAAGTTATTTAATGCAAAAAAATTACTTATCTGATCAAAATAAAGTTTGTTTGGTGTTCTTAATTAATTAATTGAAACGATAATGATGATCTTCATATATTAAATTAATTCTCTCCAGGTACATTACTTAATTAAAAAATAATTTCTATGTACTCAACTAAATAATAAATTAAAAACCTGATACTAATAATTAAATAGTCAGAACATTATTTTTAGGTCTAATTACTATAAACAATAATGATCCAATTTAATAGATTTATTAAATACAACTTAAAATATTAAGATCAGTCAGTTTAATTTACTTTTTGAAGGAATGATAAAATAGGAGGTATTGTAAGATAGGAAATACTATTAATTAATTGCCGATATCCAGACCGCAAAGTCATATTACTTGAAAATTAATATCAAAGAATAAAACACTTAATAAGACATGGTTAATTACACTTTAAAAGTTTGACATTTGTCATAATTAGGGCAACACCAAGAAAAAACAAAACAGTTTGTTTTGTTGTGTAATCCTTTAAGCCCAAGGGGTTTAAAATCATATAAACATCTTACAGCTCACTAATCCTTTTAAGAGAAACTGCCTGATAGCTAGAGCTATACAAACATTACATATCATAAAGATTTTAAAATTATTAAAGAAAGGAAAAAATAACGCTACTTTTATTTCTTTAAATTAGTGAAATGAATATTTAGAGTAAAATTTGCTAAGTTATTTGCTATCTTTCTCTTTACTAAAACTGCATTAAATATTATTAAGGCTGAACTATATAATTTTAAAATATAATATAATAAATCTTATTCAAATTCATACTTAAGTGATATGAAATAGCCTGTAATTTTATTGTTATAAAAAATAAATATCTATTATGTGTAGTGCTGCATATTTGGATGGACAATGATTTTTCATTTCAACTTTTGTTAATCGATAAATTAAATTGCTTACTTGTTCGGCAGTCTTGTAAAAATTGAGACTAGCGGTGACTAGTTTGTGCCTCTCTTCGGCACAAGTGACGAGCCCTTGCCACCTTTTAGTGACTTCTTCAGCAACTTCTCTGACGGCATCGGGAGCGTAATGGTGAGCGGATATGAGAGCATCTGCCCTGTGCCGCACTTGGACAGCAGATGTATGAGTTTTCTATAAACAATATTTTAACATTAATTACCAAATGATGAGAATTTTAGGTTAATGAAAAAACATTTTTCAGAAAATTTATTAAAAATAATAAACAATGAATTATTGTAATTTATAGAAAATTAAGATTGCCGCAGTTACAACTAGCTGAATGATTTTTAAAAAAAAAGTTTAAAAGCATCTTTCATTAATTGATTAAACATGGGATAAGTTATTACTTGCCTGAAGAATTAAATGAAGGTGATTGAATAATCAAAACAGTAAAATAGTGCAGTTCAGCAGAATATAAAGGCTCGATAAATCAGCAAGTAAACCGGCCACATGGAATGGTCAGCCCGTTCACTGAGGACTTAGATATTAAGGGCCGATTTGGGCTGGTACTTCATGGTTAAACTGATAAAAGACTGTTGCAACAGATCTTTCTATCTTACAAATGATGAAATACCACTTGTGATTTATTACAAAGCTCTGTTTAAACTCCTTAGAAATGGCTGATGAGACAAAAGAATTGATTTATTATATAATTGAGCTTCTCCTTTCAACACTGATTGAGACAGCCCTGATGAAGGCCTGAACTTCAGGTAGAAACGTCGGCAAATGTCATAATAAATATTATCATTTATTTTTGCCTTCTTATTTGACTGATCACCCCAACTATTCTTCTCTTCATTATTCACGACAGTCAACCATTTTACCCACAATTATGAATTGATTTATTAGTGTGGAAGTAAATATTATATAAGATGTTGATCATACTATCAACAAAGATGTGAGGAAGAAAGCAGAAGCACGGAGAGATCTTTTATCAAGATATGTAACAACATAACAGGCGAAGCTCGTTTAACTACTTTCATTTCATTTATTTTATGTTTTAATTTTTTTTTTTTCTAGCTTGACTTGAAGTAAAAAGAAAAAACAACTGACGGACATTGTTGAATTGAAAACAAGAAAAGAAAACACTAATTCAAGAAAGAATTACTTGGAGAAATTATACAATAAACACTCTTGATGGTAATTTTTCACATTTTGACTTGTCTGCATTCTACCCAACTACCCATGCCTAAGATAGACTGTAGTTTTTCCGTCCACAGTCAGACAGTCAGGATTTTCAAATTCTAGTAAATTAAAAAATGAAATATTGTTAAAAAAATAAAATGTGATAAACATTAAAGGACACTGCTTACCTCTATAGCGACTTGAAATTGCTCATGCTCTTTTTTCAGTTGTTCTGCATCTGCTAAAGAGTTAGGAATTGTGAAACTTGCAAGCAGCATCGCTTCTCCATTTCTAATCCAGCTAACAACCTGAAAGGTACATAATTATTTTGAAGTTTAAGAACTAAAATCTCAATCATTCCAAAAACCTATTAAATGATTAAGTTAAAAAATATATAATAGAAGAACAATAAATTTATTAAAATAAATTATAACAAAATTAAATAAAAAATAATCAGTCTGCAGCTCTCAAAATCAAAGGATAAAAAATTGTAACCATATACATTAATTAGAATGAAGCTACTGAAGTATATGGTATTAATAATTTACTCTCAGGTTTTCACTGTTATTTAAAGGAATATAAATAAAAACCAAATACTTACCTGATTTGCATCTTGTCTAAACTGGCACAGGTGAACACATTGCTCTAATTTCACCCTTTTGATTTCAGCAAGGTCTTCAAGATCCATTTCCCTTTCATGAAGGAATTCTAAAAGGACTTGTACTCTTGTACCAGCTGAATACTGTGAGTCAGCCATAAGTGTAACGCCAGATGTTTCAAATACCTAATGTGGCAAATCAAATAAGTTATTGTAAATTAAATAATATCAGAATATTGTACATTAAAAAACAACCTAGCACTAATATAAAATAGCAGTAAATAAAAAAAAAAAAAAGACATAAAGTAATTGTTAAGATATGAGAGAATAAATACAAACATAGAGAATTGATTCTCTAAAATAATGATAAACAACTAACAAATTAACTGTTGACAAATTAAGGTACCATGAGAAAAGAAAAGACAGTAGCACATATATGCAGACCGAACACAACACAACTCACATTTATTATCTAAAAAATTCCCATCAACCAGAGACATTATAAAAATCCAAGGCATAATGTTTATTTTTTTAGACTATTGAAAGGTAAAGTTCCAAGAGAGCATAGTTTATAATAATAAAAGGCTTAGCGAACCCAAAGGTTAAATACCGACACCACCAATCACTTATTGCACACCTCCCTTCTCCGTTCGCTGTCCAAACCCAGTCCCTTCAGATCGGCTTTAATGGAATCTTCCCAACTTCCCTTTGGTCTACCTCTCGGAAACTTACCATTCGGTAAACTAATTATTAATCTTTTAGAAATTCTTTTGTTACTAAGCCCAACAATTTTACAAGCGCAACAATTATACACTCAACAATTACTATTGGATTTGTCGTGATGTAAGTTATCATCTCAATTATATTAACCGGAAAAAGTTCACACAATTCGGCATTGTGTAACGGTCTAAACTCTCCAGTTAACTCATCCTTCTTCGGTCTGAATATTCTGTCTTCCGAATATTTATTTTGTCACAGAGCAAGCATTTCCCGCCTTAGCCTAACCTTAATATCCTCTTAAATTTCGTTTTTGCTAAACTTCTCTACGCGTTCAAACATATTACCTTCTATATCGATATCATCAACAATATCGCCATTTTCGTAGCTAATCATATATTTTGCCTTATCTAATGAATGTCAAATTTAACAGGACAGGTGAAAGAGAATCACCTTCTTTTAAACCCGAAGGAACCTCAAACTTTTCGGATAAATTATTACCGATTCTAACTTTATTGACTGTTTCCGTCAAGCACATTCAGACTAGATTTACTCATTTTTTTGGAATCCCTTGCTCGATTAGAATATTATACAGTTTCTGGCAGTCAATAGAATCGTAAGCCTTTTTGAAATCAATATACAGCTGGTGAACAACAACATTGCATTCTAATTTTTTCTCCAGTATAGTGTAAAGAAAATATTTGATAAACTAGTCAAGAATAGTCTAATGGATCCGTCTAAGAGTCTATTTTATATAATTTTAAAATGACACATCCAATCTGAGTTTGTGCACATTGTTTTCATAATGGCTTTTATAATTTAATAACGAGTAGTTGGAAAGGAGGATTTAGCTTCAAATTATTGAAGAACTGATAGAACTTTCGTCCTTGTACAAGTCAATTTAATGATTGCTTAAAAATATAAATGCTAAAATATAGATGTTTTGAAAATATTAATATCATTTTATAATTTTAGTTGGTTACATTAAGTATTTTAACCTTAAATTGGTTTCATTTATTTATTTTGTCTTCGGAAATAAAAACTTTCAAGTATAAAACAATTAGTTTATTTCTTGAGATTCTTGTCAAGTTGATGTTTTGGAAAATTATTCCCATTTTCAAAACTTTATTCCCATCCTTTCATAACAATTAATGGCTAAAGCCTCGTGTGGTCCTTTTTCATAATTTGAAGTTTTTTTTGTTATATATAAATAATAAAAATATACTATCCGTCACATCCGCAGACTAGGAGCGTCTCATTTATGGGAATAATGATTGGGTGTCTGCTAGCTACTTGGGAATGCTATTCATTATTATTAGTCCTATAAATGTGACGCTCCAGATAATATATTTTTATTATTTTCTATATAACACAAAAACTTCAAATTATGACAAAGGACCACATGAGGCTTTAGCCATTAATTGCTATGAAAGAATGGGAATGAAGTTTCGAAGATGGGAATAATTTTCCAAATGTCAACTTCAAATTAATTTTAACAAATAAACTTAATTGTTTTATACTTGAAAGTTTTTATTGCCAAAAATAAAGTAAATAAATGAAACCAATTTAAGGTTAAAATACTTAATATAACCAACTAAAATTATAAAATGATATTAATATTTTCAAAACATATATTTATATTTTAGCATTTATATTTTTAAGCAATCATTAAATTGACTTATATTGTATATCAAAAAACAAAGTAAATAAATGAAACAAATTTAAGGTTAACTTGACATGAATTTTAACAAATAAACTAATTGTTTTATACTTGGAATTTTTTATTGCCAAAAATAAAGAAAATTAAACAGCTTCAAAAAAAAAAAAAAGAAGAATTCATTAATTTAATTTTGGCAACAGGGACAAAAATCAAAATGGCTATGTGCCAGGAACTATATATGGACTTTTGGATCAAGCTGATTGTTTAAAATTATTTTCTCTGTTTATTATTCTATTATTTGGTAGCCTAAATTATTATTTATATCTCCATAAATTAAAATTTCAATAATAGTTAATTATTTAATATAAGATTTTTCATAGATAATCATTAATAACACTTAAAATAGATAAAGAAAAACTCAATTAAGTATAAAATAATCACCATTTAAAGTATGGTATTAGGTAATTAACTAATATTTAAATTTCATTTCAATAAAATTTTCACATTCATCAGAAATTAAGAATCAGAATGCAATATTCTTTGAAGAAATATTTTGAATCTTGTGAGACCAACTGAAGATGGAGCAATCCACACATAGAACCCACTTGAACCTAAGTAAACAACTTAGTAGGCCAAGCCCTATTCCCAAATCAACAAAAGGATAAAAGCCAAAAAAAAAAAAAAAACAGTAAAAAATATTTAATGAAATGAAGCAGGAGCTAATTTCAGCAATTCATAGGAGTATTAAATAAAAAAAAGGTAATAATAATAAAGCATGAGCCCACTCAATTTCAGGAAATTTGGCAGGGATTGATTAAAATGTGCACTAATTAAAATTGATTAAACCAGCGGGAGTAGATTTGCGTACTACTCAGACAATTTGGAGCTTAGTGCGGATTTATTTTTGGGTCCTTAAAAAAAATAAAACTATATATATATATATATATATATATATATATATATATATATATATATATATATATATATATATATATATATATATATATAAATTATCTGTAGTGAAGCCTAGTTATTAAGGGATGTGAGGGATGAGTTTATTTTTGATGAATGCTTAAAAAGAAAAAAAAATCTAATTCAAAAAGTATTGTTTCTAGTGTTCAGTTGAATAGTTAGGCACTGTACCTTATAATTAAATTGTACTAACTAAATTGTAATTTTTTTATTTTTATGGATCCCATCATCTAGGTCAAATTAAAGTAAATTGAATTTTGTAAATTCGACAAAATTATGTCCGATAAAATTAATCAAAACTAAAAAATTACCTGAGCCAGCTCCTGGCCTTGCTGTAAGACCTGGAAGGTTGTGTTTTGCATGTGGGTAACACTTTCAGTATGTAATCTTAAGAGCCTTTCTGCCTCTTCAAGTTCATTGCTAAGCGGTATATGTTCCAATTCATTTGACCAAATTTCCAGCTGGGAGGAAACCTAAAAATTAATTTTAAAGATATGTTTAATTTAGTAATTTATAAGGTTTCATTAAGGATAAAAGGGAAAAAATACCCGACATTGATCTAACATTTTTTTACTTTCTTCAAACTTTAATAAATGCCTTAAAAATTGATTAAAAAATTATCTAAATTATTATTTAAAAAATAAATAAATTGGAGAAGAACTTATAAAAATATTAAACGATCATTATAGATAAAAAAAAAATAAAGCGAGTATAAATAAAACTTTAATTATAAATAGGCTAGATCACACCTCTGATCTAAAATAAAAGGACATGATTATATTTAAATTTATGAGCAGTATCTTTGTGATTTTTAACAGTTTCTTAACAAACTATAGTAGTTCCATAACATTTGTTTTTTGCCAATTTTGCACATCAAGAGACCTTGAAGTTTCAGATAATAAGGAAACAAAACAAGAAATATATATTACTGATATTATGAGATTAATTAAGTAAATCATAAAGCAAAAGACAAGTGATTTAACCTAAACCAGAATAAATTTTTTGTTTTTATAACTTTTCTTTCATTAAAACTGGATATAAATTGGAAAATAATTATTAAAATTTGTTTAATACCTCCAAGGCATGCCTTTCAAATAGCCTCAGCCTAAGGCAGAGCTCTAGCCTAAGTTTTCTAGCAGCCCAAAGTTCTTCCAGTTCTGCTCTTTGTTTATTTAATCGTTCCAGCGCAGATTCCACAGCAGCTACAGAGCCTGTGGTGTCCATTTCTGGTGTCAGACCAGTACTCCTAAAAGCAAATTATAAGATATAATACAATTATTGTTATAAACATTTATTATCATAATGTAAGGTTCTTTTCAGACATTTAACAAAATAAAACAAATAAAATACAGAACAAAATCAATGGATTTTGATTTGAATGTTTTGTTAAAGTAATCAGACTGTGAGAGCAAATTTGACATGGAACAGATAAAAATATTATAATTATATTGAGGAATGAATCAAAATTTTTCAATTGCGTCCTTTTTAAAATTTATTTTCAATTTAACTCTCACTTCATTCCCCAGTCTTTAGTTACTACCTCTCAAACTACATGGGTCTCACACAAATTTCGGAGTTCTGATAAGTTATATGTTTAAGATTTGCAATATAATTTAAGTTATGATTGCATTTAAGATCTGTGATGTGTACAAGGTGAGATCTTAATATTCACAGAAAAATATGTTTATTCTTTTTTTTGTTCTCAATCAAGATTTATCTCTTCGAAATTATATTTTATCAAGTTACAACCTCAATTTATTTTTTTTGTGTGAAATTCAGGTAAAATATTGCCGTATCCTCCATCAATTCTATAAAAAACATTGAAACTGTTTTATTCCATATTCTTTTATGAAGATTTAATATCTTTTGAAAATTAAACTATAAAAAAGCAATCAGGTCTACTAAAATTTACGAGCACTTTCAAAGTGATCAATACAATAAATTTTTAAAGCCAATTTCAAATAATAATGTGACTGATTTTATTTAATTGCTATTAAGTATTTTTTCACTATTAGCTGGATTTGATCAGCCATGGGAAGGTATTGAGTACTGACCAAAACAAAAAATATTAATAAGTTTACAAAAAGTTAAGATTGGGGAGCATAAACTTGAGTTTTATTCATTTATATTAATCTATTTGTTTTGAATAATTTATGTACATGCATTAACATAACACAAGAATATTTTAACAACACTACTAATATAATAACAACACTACTTTCAATAAAATACATATTACATTATTATCAGAGCTTTTATGAAAGTCAATTTTTTTTTTCAAATTAAATATTTTTTTAACACTGGAGTTTTTTCTCATTAAATTAATTTATTTAATGAGGTGATAAAATCCCATAAATACATATTTGCTTTTCACTTCAATTGTAAGATAATTTATCACAAAATAGAAAAATAGGGTGGCCTACAAAGATTTGGGCCATTTGGCCTATTTAACCTTATTATTTTGACATGTTGGGGATGGAGGTCACGCCGAACGTCCCAATATTTGTGTAGGCCACTTTTTTTTTATTTTGTGATCAAATTATCTTACAATTCAAATGGAAATCAAATGAATGTTCCCGAGTTTTTAGTATTTAATGAAATTTAACGAGTTTTTAATCTAAATTGGAAAAACGGCCTAATTACGAGAATTTGCGAAAGTAAAAAAATACAGGGTTACAAGATAAAGCTATTCACGAAGTTTTAGGTGGATATTAATAATATGATAAAAAGGAGTCTTTACCACGGGCTTTAGCCATATTCTTTAGTTTATCTTAATAAAATAATTTAATATTATCATATCTTTTCATACTGGAATGGTAAACAAAACATCATATTTAATATTTAACATTTCCAGGAATGTGAAAAATATTGCTCCTTATCATTAGTGGATCCAGGATTTAATTTTTTTTTTGGGGGGAGGGAGGTTCAGCCCGAAACCTTTTTTTTATATAAAAATAACGATAACTACTTTGGAAAAAAAGAAAGAAACTAACTACCTATATGAAATTATGTTTAAGTGATTCCTAAAGCCCTTTTACATGTAATTACACGAACAATAACACTTTCAGAGATAATTTTTTTCGATAAAACATGGTTATATTTCACCATTTTGGGGGAGGCTTCTGCCCGAAAGCTCCCCCCTTCCTCCGTAGATCGGCCCGTGCTCCTTATTGAGGAAGTAAACTGTTGAGTGACTTTAAACGAAGAGACAATATACGAAGTAGGAAGGTGTTTGGGAGGAAACATGGACTCTTGAATAAGTCAGGAACATCAACTAAGGAAGCAAACTGGCCGTGGGTTCTGAAGGATATAAGTGCAGCGGAGTGCACAGCGGCCATTAGAAGTCATCAGGGCCAATAGTAGCCGGCGTAGGCGAACCCGAACTTCATTGGCCATTTCCCGGAAATTAGATTTAATCCACTGCCTCCTGGAATGCCGGCAATGACCTCTGTATTGTCTTTTCCTACATTGGTTAGCAATTTACGGATATCCGAAAATGAAAACCGTACTATTAAATTATAGTTTATTAACTCCGACAAAATTGAATTGTACACAGCGTAATCTGAGCATAGTAGCAGAAACGACACTAGTTTTAATCCGGCCTTGGCGGGTTGAAATTTATTTCGTGACGGATCACGAAATAAATTTCCACCTTCCCACTCTGGCAAGGACGGTAAACTGTAAAGATAATACGTCCCTCCTGCCCTAGTCACGTAAGAACATGAGGACGTTAGACTCCAAATAAGAAAGTAACAAATTGTTATGATTTGTTACAGTTTAATTTCCTATGATGGGTAATAAATATTCAGGACGCAGTCTTTTTTAAATTTTTTTTTTGCCAACGTTTCAACCCAAACATGTGGGTCATCTTCAGAGCGTAGTTTGAGCACTGAGGTTGTTCATGTACTCATAATTTCCTATGATGCAGATGTTTTGAAAAGATTCACTCTGAATTAACATTGAACAAGATAATCTTGACACGATAAACACATAAACTTCAACAAATTAAGCCATTACTAACTTGCATCGCAACCCAAGCACAATTTGTCAAACTCTCAACAGAATAAAATTTTTCACACATATTTAAGTAAAATATATATAATTGGATAAAAAAAAAAAAAAAAAATAGATTGTTTACTATACATCATTTTAATCTTGTTTGGACAAAACAAGAACAAAATTTTAGAAAAAGTAAATTAAAACTTCTCAAAACAAAAAAAATTATATTTGAGTTCTTTTAAAACATTGGTTCCTATTATAAGTCTTATGGAAATGAAGATTAAGATGAAATTGTGAGGAAAAGTGATACCTTTAACATTTTTTCGAGTAAGGGCAAGTTTATTAATTTTTCTTTCCCTCCTCCCCAATAAAATTCAACATTTTATTTAAGTATTTTAGATAATTTATTTCTAAATTAATATAAACATTAGGTAATATTAACTCGTGTCATTGACTGAGGTCAAAACAACCAAAAAGTATAAAGAAATATTTTTCTTCCAATATTCCAAAAAGTTTTCGAAATTTGCTGTCCTATTTGCTCTATTAACATGTGTCCTATTTGCCCCTCTCTAGTTCCGGCCCTTTATGTACAGCGTAAACAGAAGTGGCATATACAAGCCATAGAGTTCGAAAAGTAAACTAACTGGTTCGATGCACCTGATTCTTCGATTTTATCGAACGCAGTTCATTTTACAGTGCAGGTGGAGGAAAAACATTGGAGTTGGCGCGGACAAGGGTCCTGAGAAGGAAAGTGCAAGGGGACACTGCTGTTAAAACAACAGAGCTGAAACAACAGGCGGCACGATCCATATTCCATGAAGTCCCTCAGAGCAGAGAATTCCAAACATGGCTCCAGATAGAGCAGTCGAATTCTGTTTGGCGAGGGCACACTGAACACGGAGTGGTGATGAGCTTCGGATGGAACGAGCTCATGCTAATTGAAGTGAGACGGACTGCCCCTCAGCTCTGCACAACACTAGAATATATCTTCTCTAAATTTTAAACGCACTGTAACCTGCCAGCCCAGAATTATCTCAGCCGTTTTTCATTTGCAATGTTTTGAAAACAAGTGTTCGAGTAATAAAAGTTTTAAAGGTAAACGGTTATGTAATGAATATTTATCTGGTGGGTATGAGTTACGAAAAGTATATATTTTGAACATAGAAACAATAATTCATGTAAATATTAAAAGCCGTGGTCAATATCAAATCGTTCTATTCGTAGAGGAGAAATTCTCTTGACCACGCCTAGAATATGCCATACCAATCTAACCCATCCACATCTCTTTAGCAAACAGCCACCACCACAATACCAACACTGCAATAGTACAATTACAGTTAGCTACATTTTTAAAGAAAGTTCTTTCTATACCTCGAATTTAACTAGTATCAGACACCCCCTCCCCCTCCCCGGATATCAAACATTATTAAAAATAACGAAGACAGTACAGTTAGTATTAAATTATATAAAATCAAACAATTTGTTAAACAAAATTCAAAAGTTGAAATTTAAATCTAGTTCTGATAAACAAAATTAAACACAGGCGTTCATGACCTCGAAGTTTTACGCAGTAAAACCCCAACTAACAACAACAACGATTATTCATGTAAGGTACTAATCAAGCGAACCAAAATTTATAGCAACAGAGGGAGAATGAATTAATTATCTCATAGGTTTACAAAACTGAAGAATACCATAATCTAGCATTATGAACTTGCTTCATGATTAAACTGGTTAACATCAAAATTGTTTTTGCCCAACTAAATTCCAGTACTGATCTGTGCCTATCGACGAAATGTTGAAAATCATCAGGAAATAACAGGCAAGGTGAAGGGAGAATAGGACCAAGAGTTACCCTAACAATCTCTTAACCTTTTTTTTTTTAATTTTAAAAATCATAAAATGCATATTTTTTATATTTATAAACTTCTTCCAGTAACAATAAAAAAAGAATAAGTTTACAATCATATTTTTTTTAAAGATTTTGACATCATTATGTAACAAAAAAACACCGTACTCTTGATGTGTAAACACCGTAGAGTGTAGTATAAATGTCCATTAAATAATTATAATTAATGTAATTGTTAAGAATATAATGTCTGTGAAACATGGCAGACAGTGGATGCTATGGGATATTTTATTTTGCTAGTATCAGTGTAAGTGGTAGTATGTAAAAATTGATTTTTTTTTTTTTTTTTTTTTTTTTTTTTTTACAGAAGAACAGCAAAAACTGATTATTTATGTATGATTTATAGGTATAATTTCATATTTTATTTCCCGTTGCTATTTTACATAGTAGCAGACTACTTATTGCAATTGCAGACTACAAAATGTCACCTTTAGCACAAATAGAATAAACATAAAAAAGTTGTCATAGACGATCTTTTGCACTGATAGTAGCGATATGGGTCAAGTAGTGATTTATTGGACTTCTTTAATATTCCAATCTATTTCGTATAGATAGAAAACATAAATGTAAATCCATATTGTTTTTTATTTTAGAAGTTTCCATTAAATACAGACGCTATAGATGATAAAGAGGGGAATACAATTACCGAAACATGGCGAGATAAAAAATTAAATCAGCATACCTGTTTACTCAATAGAAATGATGAGGAAGACATACTATCAAATAACGCATACAATAACTGATTGGATTTGGATAATGATATCTTCATAGATTTTTTATTCAAAACTGCGAGAATTGATTGAGCGACGGACATTTTAGATAAATGAGATGTAAGAAATTTGTTCATTAATTATTTTGTTATCAAGCTAAATATAAATACTTCAAACTGCGATAGCGAGACATAGAGGACTTCAACCGAATCCTGATATTTCCCGATTTATAAAAGACCCCATACCCGCCTGTTTAAGCCGAAAGGTATTTCACGTCACGGACCGAGGGCGGTCGGATCCATCTATTAAATGAAGGGTTGGACTTAAGGGATTAGGAGGAAAGTGATGGAGGCCTTCCGGGGAAGGGAAAGGGAACAAACAAAATGTGATTCCCCGCACCATCATTAAAAATGATAATTGTTCCACAGTTATTTCCATCAGTCTGTCTTAAGTAATTTAATTATGAGGTCCATTATCATTCAAGCCTGTCATTTTTTTACGCGGCATCAAATGTACAAAGATGGAACTCACGAAATAAGAAAATGGGAAAATTATTTTCAACTATTTTTTTTTAGAAATAAAATTCCAATAATATGAAAAGGAAGATGACATCTTCCTTGGTTCGGTTGGGTGAAAGAGGGACTCTGCTAGATCGTAATTAGGAAATGGGGAAGTAGAGCAAGACACAGCGGTGTGAAGACAACGATGACATAAGATAAATTTGTAGGAATGATTCAACATTTTCAGAGATGGAGCGAACAATAAAATGGTTCTAAATCGGTGGAATGTGAAGTACCGGTGGCCGAACGAGTTAAAAGGCGTCAACGGCGTTCTAGAATCTCGAACGTTTAAGTCTTGTTAGAATAGAATAGTTACTTTTGAAAAAACCCGTTATCTCAGCACTAGATAGAATCAATACTCTTTGTAAGCTAGAAATAACGAAATTTAAAATATTAGTCATGACCAACGCTATTTATACAGAATAAATATATATATAAAATCAATACTTCTATACACTTCATAGACAGTAGATCAATCATTTCAACTAATTTAATCATATTTAATCACGTATAACCACAGAGAGTTAAAATGGGTTTATTATGTAAATGGAATTAAATATAAGTTAAATGGAGAAAATAATTAATATCCATAACCACAAAAACTACAAAATCAGAATGTTTTCAATCTTTCTACCATTTGCGACTATTTATAAAAAAACAAAACAAAAAAAAACTGATATTATATCATTCATTTTTCAATACATCATTTCGTAATTATTCATTACGTATTCAATAATAATAATTTTTAAATATCTCATCACAAAATTAATGTCGAACAAATCCAAAAATAAAAAAAAAATTACGATTCCGAAAAAAATTCAACCAAAAATTACAATTCCAGAAATAATTCAAATCATCTGAATTTAAGATATAATATCTTAAAAATAAAAACATCAATCCTTTCGAATGATTCTATTTCTCTTCAAGGATCATTCGTGACCTTATATGACCCATCATACAATTCAGATAGGCTACGAGAGTGGATCAATGGAACGTTTTAGGCGACGTCTTGATTAGGTGACGATTTTGAAGCAGTAGATCGATTGTAAAATTCGAAAGAAAACAATAGAATCAGATGAAATTTAAACAATGAACGCTAGACAATGTTTTTGAAACTATAATTTTCGTGAACGAAGTCTTGATGGAAAATACGTCTTCATTAATAACCCTATCTATTAATTAATGAAGAGCTAGATATAGGTTATCCGCCAATGCATGGTTTAATCGATGACTTATAATTGATACTTCGTAACTGCAAAAAAAAAAAAAAAACGGTATTTCATGTTTAGACTTCATTAATATCATGAAAATATATGTCAGATAAAACCTCTGTGGATCACTTCTAGTGTCTCATAAGAAAAAATAATTCTGTGGGCATAAATCGAATCATTAATAACAGATGAGAAACTGTAAAGTATTACTGCATTTTTATATGCCTCTTTGGTATCATGAAAAATATTCAAAAATTGTGTTACTTACGATTTACTGGTTTTTATAATAGTTTTTACAACAAGAGTAAAGGATCAAACCATTGAAATCACACATTTTGAATTCATTTCATTGCTAGACAGTTTTGAGTTTTATCATTTTTTTTATCACTTACTCCCTACTAAATGGAGAATTTAATACGAACATTATAAAACCAATTATCTGCAAAATTACCAGAGTTATAGGCATTTTTTCAATACACGTTTTCAGTCGAAAAGCATATTCGAAATGATCGGCGAGGAATTTTATTTTTTTAATATGGGTTTGAACTCTCCATTAAGTAAATAATAACTGATAAAAAAATTATAAAAATCAAAAATGTAGAGCAACAAGGTCTGGATGATAGCAAATGGATTGACCTAAAAATATTAGTTTTGCACATACTTAGGAGATATAATTTCTTGGCAATCGATGAACCTAATGTAGTCAATGACTGATTCATTAGAAACCTTTTCTCTATTGGTTGCTGTAGGCAGAACCACGAGGATAATAAAAAAGAAAAAAAGTAAATAGCAAATATGAACTGATTTCTAAATTTAATGAGATCTAGAAGTGCACAGTTTGTGAAGAGGGCGACACTATTACAGCCTGAGAGGCAGCGAGCCCTCGAGGACAGGAGGCCCTAGGGGTTATTTGGATTTAATTTATCCACCTTAAGCACCTCCTGGGAGACAGTCCAAAATCTCTGTTTAATGTCGTTAAGCTTCCATTGGCTGAAAACTTTCCCGTTTCAAGAGGCGCTAATGCTGCCTTCACAGGAGATAGAATTAGGCAGTCTCTTCTCTCCTATTGCTAATCCTCCTTAGAGTTGGCAGGGAGGAGGGAATGAGCCATTAAGTGTCCTGCCCTTTTAAAAGCCCTCTCAGCACCGCTCCAAATTTATTTACAAAAATATGAGCAAAATAGATCCTCAGTCTTCCTGGGACAGGATCAACAGAACCCCGATTGAGGAGGAACTCGTGATCAAATCCTAAAATAATAGTTAATTTAAGCTTAACATTAAAATTTTAAGGAATATATACCTATAATCCTATTATTTTTTAAATAAAAAGCTAATACAGAAAGAATACTGAGGGAATGTAGTTCCATATCTACTTAAATATCTTAGTAGATTTTTAGGGAAATTGACGTCTATGAATATTTAAACTTGATGTGATATTCGGGTGCTTTCCAACACCGAAACTCAAGACTTTTGACATGCACCCGTATAAAATCTAGGAATGAATCTATATACCGATGAAATCTATGTGCCAGGAGCCGTATTAAGTTGGGAAAGGCACCCGACTATTACACCAAGAAAGGTTTTTATAATATATATATGCAAGTACATTCTCTTAAGATGGATAGGATTATTTATGTATTTAAAAAAAATACATAATATATATAATTTTATTTTAACGTTCGTAGCTTTTCCAAGTAATGACAATTTATAGTCACCACATTTGATCAATGACTTGACATTACATGACACCTAAAGAAATTGAGAATAGTTAAGATATAATTTTTAAAAAATCAGTATTTTGAGCCTAAATTACTTGAATATATTCACGGGATCTTAGTGAATAATTTGAGCCATTGAACTTAAAAATCGGTCTAGCTGTTCGCTCAAAAAAATCGTTACACACCTTTTAGCGGTGCGATTGAACCCATTTCGAACAATTATATATCAGTGTAGTAAGCTCAAATTGTATCAAAACATTTACAGGATCTCACTGAATAATTTCAGTTGAAATTAATCAAAGTTAAATATTGGTCCAACCATTTGCTCGAAAAATAGTAGTGTACTTATAGGCGGTCCAAACAAATACATAACTCTGCATGCGGCTTTTCCGTATTGCCGAAATGCATATCAAGTAGCTTATCAAGTTACGCAAACTCTTGCAAATCACTAGCGAGAAATCTCCTAAGAATAGGCGAAGTATTCCGATCACAGTGAGCCGGCGAAATCACCAAACTTGCAAGACACGATATATGCATTTAACAAATCTTGTTGAATATTAATGAAATAAATAATTCAACGAAAGAAAGATAATGCACAGATAATCGGTTACCTAATAAGCCGAAGCGTTTCACTTTTACAAAGCTTATCGCGTATTGCAAAGGTGACACACGTCGCTGTGTCTTAACAGGGAGCGATATGCGTCCCCATTGCGAACTGCCATCGTATTAATTAACGCCTAAACAGATTTCATAATCATCATTTAACATCAAAATCAAATCGCTATATTTACTCACTTCTTCATCTGATTAATCAAATCGAGCTAATGAACATACATTGAACCTCGTTACGTACATTAGAACCAAAACGACGAAAGAATTCTGAATATTTGTTCATTAATTCCGACAGCAGAATATAAAGCTCTGTGTACACCATTCCATCGTTTGCCCACTTAGCAAAACCTGAACGCTGAAGTGTTTGTTTAAAGCCTTCCACAAATACCTTTCATCCCAGTGTATCCGCTTTCGGTGGTCCTTTCAAACACCACATGACGGTACTCTGATTTAAACTAGGGAACGAAACAATATAAAATTGGAAATAATCGAATTACATGATTTAAAATAGTAAGCAAACAGCTGAGTGTGGATAATATGGTTGGGAACTTGGTTTTGGGTTGGAGTTACAAAGACAAAAAAAACTTTTAGACCTTCATTAAGACTGCTTGTTTGGAGGATATCCAACAAGTACGATATGATTAGAAAAACGATATACTAAAAACAGTTAACTATTAATTATAACCGAAAAGTGTATTAAATTAAGAAAAATTGAAATTATATAGGGTATCCAGTAAACAGAGAGAAATATTAAATAGGTAATAACAGACCTCGAGAGCAATAATAATCCCGTACATACTACGTTCCGATTCCAGGCAGAAAATCTGTGTTAAATGCAAAAGTATATTGATTATACCAATATCTTTATATATAGTAACTAAAATTGTCAAGTATTTTGCCTTTTTTATTCAAAAGATCGATTTTTTTTACATGTCTTGGTCTTGGTCTTGCAACAGTAGGGCAAGATCAAGACGGATTATGTGCAATAAGCTAAATTACGTAATCTTCTCTTTTTACTATAATTATGTATCGTTGCAAGTTCTTTTTATAAAACTCCTATTGTACTACAGGCGAGGATAGGGCTTTTCTTCCCCCCCCCCCTCCAAAAAAATGTAAAATATAACTATGTTTTATAAAAAGAATATTAAAAAAATATCTCTTAAAGTATTATTTTTCGTGTAATTACAAGTTTATTTTCCATTTAATAGTACGCCAAGAATTGCTTAAACAGCATTACATATAAGTACTAAGTTTCTTTCTTTTTTTCCGAAGTAATTTTGTTTATATAATATCCTCATACGTGGAAATCATTCAAGAAAGCAGATGAACCAGTCCCGCATTAATGAATATGTTTGCAGATTTAAGAGATTAGAGTTCGGTTGGAAAGTATTCGCTAAATACTGAAACCTGGAAGATACGGTAGACTGGTAAGGATAAAGAAGAAAGGAGGGAATAATGGATAACGGGGAGGCGGCGGAGCATGATCTGAGCTCCTTTCATCCTGAGGAGATGTAATGGCTGGGGGTGGTCCTTCCACATTGTGCCGCCGCCGTGGAGGGCCGCTGGGGGACGGCAAACACTTCACCAGATGGCGAGGATATCGCACGCGGCTCTAGCCGTATCAGGATTAACTGGAGTATTACCAAACACTGGTGCCCTCTTAGTGCTGTAATTGAAACACATTCTGAAACGAACTGATCGGCTTTATTGAAAAAAACTGATCAAAATGACAATCATCATCTTAATATAATACTGCAACCTTCCAAACCAAAATTTTGAGTCTCTCAAACAGCTGGAGAAGATAAACTAGTAAACGTTTCTCCAGCCTAAGCCTTTTCGCTCGGCCAAGAGGCGTAGAAACATCTGAGGGTGTTCTTTTAAATTTTTAATTAAATGTATTTTATTCCTAAATAGCTGAGCCTTATGGAAAATTTGAACCATACCTATTTCTTTCACATGGTAAATACATAACTGAGGGCCAGTTGTAGAATTGGAGTTAAAGCTTGAACTTGATTTGAACTCCAATTGTACAAATGACCCTAAGAGCTTAAAATTCGAAATTTTGTGGAAAAACAAAAATACCAGACACTAAAAAAATATATTATTTGGGTACATTTTAACACAGCATTCCTTCTATATTTTTTTAAGAAATTTGCAACTGCCCACCACTAAGTAAATTTGATCTGAATATTTAGTTATCAAGACTTTGCTTGATAATCGCTTTTATTTAGTTATTGGCGAAGCAGCAGATTTAGGCATTTTTTTTTTTTTACCTGCATCGCGAGGTAACAGGAAGGAGGAAACAGATAAGATGGGTGGGATGATTTGATAATCAGTTGCATGTAAGATTTTACTGATGAAATGTTTCGATGGTTATGCATAATGCTATTTGATATGGTGCGTTGATACCTGGATGGTGAGTACATTGTTTTTGTGTATTTGATTTGAAGAACCCTAAATTCCAGCTCCGTATATAAGAATTGGTTTCGGCATATTGTAACGGCTAAAGAGAAATAGTTTTCACGATCAGTTACATACGAAAAATAATATTTAATTGTAATGCAAAATTAAAGTTAATTGTTGGTCCGTGGTACAGACCCCTTTTTATCGAATTATTAACATCCGTTTGAAACTTCGAAAATTTCATCTCATGGTAACCTATAACTATTTTTAAATCTGGAGGGGACAAACTTTGTCTATATAATTAGGTATTAAAAACCCCTAAATACCCATTTGCTTTCTACTTGGATCGTAAGATGAATTGATCACAAAATAGATAAAAAAATGTGGCCTACAAAAATATTGGGCCGATTGTCCTATATAACCTCCTTATTTTAAAAATTTGGAGATGTAGGTCACGCCAAACGGCTCAATATTTTTGAAGGTCACCTTTTTTCTCGACTTTGTTATCGAATTATCTTACGTTTCAAGCAGAAATCAAATGTGTATTTACGAGTTTACCTATTTAAATAGACAAAGTTGCCCTCCTTCAGATTGAAATTTTTCGTAAAGAAAATAGATTTAGGTTACGGTATCTGAAACTATTTACGAATTTTCAGACGGATGTTAATAATTCGATAAAAAGGGGTCTGTACCACGGACTTTGAACTTAAGTGTAGTAACATGACACGAATCAATTTTAAAAATACTAGCTGACACGTGCGAACGCTCCTTACAATCTTTTTCAAAATATTAGTAAGCAAGAGATCTCAACGGCACAACAAACTAATTTGCAAAAAAAAAAGCGTGTGAAATAGTACAGTAATTGTCGCGGTAAGCGGCTACAAACGAAAAACGGGCTACGCATTTGAAATAATATAAATATAGAAATAGATGAAGATAATCTTTCATAAAGATAAGACACCATTACGATGTGGTGACTAAGAGTGTAAAGCGTTGATGGGGTAATAAGTATTTTTCCCCCAATAAATAACAAGTATTGCTATCATAAGAAATTACTGATGAATAATTTAAAGCTATATCGAGATTAAAAAAAAAAAAAAATCAGTTTTGTGAGAAAGAATATTTTAAAAACTTATATAAATTCGAAAAAAAATTTACGACATTTCGCATACTTTAAGCATAAACTTATTCAACCTACCATAAGCTCTTAGAAAAATGTAACTTTTATCAAAAAAAAAAAAAAAAAAAAAAAAAAAAATAGGAAACAGGGAAGAAAAATATTCAGCCAAAATTTGTTTCCAATGATGGCAAAGGAGAATATTGGATCGTCTTTATTTCCAATAAATCCATGACTATCTGGGTACACAAAAGAAAATGGGACTTCGGGACGTGGTCAATAACAGGGAGGATGGCATAATATATTGGGTTGGCAAATAAGTTCTTTCGGTTTTTCTGTTTATTTTTTGTCACTATGATAAACTGATGATCTGATGAATTAATCTCTAAGGTGAGTTGTTTATCCTGTTTTTAATATGTCAACAACTATTAGTGTGAATATGGAAGAAAATATCATTCATTATCGGCATATTTTGTTGTATTATTTTAAAAAAGGTAAGCGTGCTGCAGAAGCTCATAGAAAAATTTGCAGTGTTTATGGGGATGATGCATTACCGAACGCTACTGTCAAAATTGGTTTGCCAAATTTTATTCAGGAAATTTTGACATCTATGGTGCTCAACGGTCTGGTCGCTCAAATGAAATTGAAACGAGCAACGTTAAAGCCATTGTTGATCAAAATCCCACCATATCAGTGCGAGAGATTGCTTATTGTGTCAAACACAAGCGCAGAAAACCATCTGCACAAGCTTGGCTATGTTTCTAGGATTAATGTTTGGCTCTCTTCACATAATTTCAATACGAATTAGCTATCTACAAGAAATTTAGCAGGAATTTAGGGCCACATAAACTACACAACATGATATCAACAGGATCTTCGTAAACTAACTACAAACGGAAATATAAAATAAAAACCTATAAGGAGTTTTTGTTTATTTATTCCTTATGGAGGCATCAAATAAAAAAAACATCGAATTTGAAGAACATCCTGAAGAGTTATGAATAATCGGAAGGGTGTTGTCTTCCACAAAGACCAATGCTAAGCCTAACACCTCATTGGTCGCTCGCAATAAATTATTGAGCCTTGGATGGGACCTTTTGCCCCACCCTACCTATTCAGCAGAGCTCCAAGTGACTACCACTTATTCCAGTCTCTGCAGAACTTCATGAATGAAAAGAAATTCCAAAAGGAAGAGGACATCAAAAACCACTTGAATCAGTTTTTTAACTAAACTCCAGACATTCTATGGACATGGCATTATGCAGTTAATGGAAAGATGAGAAAAAATCATATTAAATAATGGTCAATATATTGTAGATTAAAATAAATTTTATGTCTATAACATTTCGCCCAGAAAAACCGAAGGGACTTATTTGCCAACCCAATAATTCAGAAAACACTGTAACGTTTAGAAGCAAAACTCATCTTTTTCTTCTCTAATAACTCAGGCAGAAATTTATATTTCGGTTTCAAACGATACTTTTGGCAGAGAGGAAACCGATAACCCTTAAAGGATTTCACAGAACATTAACACCGGACTATTTGTTACAGGAACACGTTATACGATTCCGGTCTTTGATGAAAAAAATAAAGCGGGACTACAAAAAGAATAAGGTTAAATTTGTTCCTTTGAAAGGGAAGTAATAGGGCGGACGGGGATGAAAGTAAGAAGTGGAAGTGAAGCTATTTTAGGAGCTCCTAAACAAAGCAATTCCGAACCATGCTCCAGATGGTGTCAGCCTCCTTTAGTAATATCACTAACAAAGGGCTTAGTAATTACTCCTCATTCTTAGGGCTGTCATTATATTACCTAAGCCTTGAGATTGTTCTAGTAAACCACTCCATTTCTTTTAACTAAGGAGACAATGATAAGTAGAGTATTGTTTTCTTATAGAAACGAGATATTTGTAATAATAATAACTGTTTCGTATCTTTTAAAAGAGACATGGTCTACCTAATGGAGCAGTAATCATGTTAGTTAACGTAATAGTGTGGTGTAAGTGTGTCAGCAATTACTGGTGAATCCAAGGGGGAGAGAGAGAGAGGATGGAGATATCTGGAATTTTTCGCACGGGCCTACTAGTGTATATATATATATATATATATATATATATATATATATATATATATATATATATATATATATATATATATATATATATATATACATATGCTTCATTGTTCCATATTCCATATTCGTTTTTTGTGAGTGATCTGAGCTAAGTAAATAAACAACCACAATCAATACTCTATTTAAATTCTAATGCATATAATAAATGTAAGCACAACTGAAGAAAAATATATTAAAAAATTATTCCTATAAAATTATTATAATTATCATTTCTTTTTGTAACAGGTCTTCAAAAACTATTGTAAATATTATTTTATATATGTTGTTTCCTTTTTATTCCAGATTAATTACCGCTGAATAAAATAAATACTTTATCAACTATTGTCAGCTTAAGTTTTATTGAATAGGCCGAATACATCTTAATTAAGCTAGCTACTCAGTTAATCTCGAATAGTTAACTGTAATCAATACTAAACCTAGCTCAGTTGATTACTGATAAATGGAGGAATGGTTTTGATAGATAACCTATAGTTTTAAGGAAGTGCCAATTTCCGCAGAGAAAATTCATAAAATTTATTAAAACTAAATAAAATACCATACTCAAACACACGAAAATTGTTATGAATTATACATTCTTAAAAAGCTCCACCATCTTTGATTTTTGGGAAAGAATAATTTTTTTTTCTTTGCATTACTTGGAGTGGATACTAAAATAAAACCAACTGAGCTCAAGGCTTCTTATAAAATAGGGAAATAAAACTTTCGGTCTCGAAGAAAATCAACTCAATACAAACCGCCGATAAATTTCCCACAAATTTGTAGTTTCAAAGTGTTTTTACCTAATTACAAAAAATCTTTATACAATCCAATTCATGCTAAATGTAATAAATTTTTATTTTTAAGTTGATAACTTAAGTATTACTGCAAAACAGAGGACCAGGGTTCCTCAGTGTGTAAGGGACTGAACTCCTATGCTCCAAATCCGGGTGCGATATTAGCAGTGGTAGGTAATTATTTATTCTGTTGCACTAGTTGTGGATCGGTCCTGTCTAAATTATGATCCGAAGCTAATTTATTTTTAAAATTTTTAATAAAACAATAACGTTTTCGTCCGACTAAACTAAAATTCAATTTAGAAAAAAAGAAAATTTTAGGGCCCTAAATGCAATTTTTACTTTACTATCATCATTGACATAAAAAAATAGATAGCGTCCCTATCACGAAATCCCTTTAGGAAGCTGGAGGTGGACCGCTTCTTTTCCCCTCCGACCGTAGATACGCCACTGTTCGATGCCTTCGTACTAGTTCAAAAGACTTATCCTATAGACAGCAGTTAGCTATCAAATTTGAGGATCTAATAATTCCAAAAAATCCTTTAGGCTGAATGAACCACGTCCTCAACTTGACATGAGTTAGATATGAAGTATGATAAAAAACTAAAAATGTGAAAGTAAAACTGAGCTTGCACAAAGCTCCGTACTAAGTCTATACTTATAGCGAAGCGTCGCGATGAATTCAACAAGAGCGTTGGGCGACTGAATAAAACAGTAAAAGGCAGCGGCGCGGGACGACAAGTTAGAGGCATAACGAATCCGAAGGCCTACAACGGGGACGAATTTCGAATATTAACATCCTCAGCTGGAATACTCCTATCTCTACTGCAGCTTAGTATTCATAACTCTCGCCGCGGCTCCCGCACTCCACTGCACATCTCGGTCTTCCATTTAATCTCCTCCTCTTGGAAACGTCCATACATCCACGCATACAATACTCCCCATTCCAACTTATGAAGTTTCCATTCGGTTCGGCACAAGTAACTCCCTCCCAATAAGCTTCTTTAACAGGCTCTACGAGGAAAACGACAAAGCCCGGATCTTTTCTCTAAAAATTAAAATGTATCCCGCATTATATCAAGTAATAAAACTATTCATAAAAAACCGGTAATTAATTTTAAAATAAAACAAGGAAGAGACATGTGCAAAATACGAAGATTGGATACTTGAGGTTAGCACAGCAGACTTACTTTTTTTATTCTCTTAGCCGACTCAAAGGTTCAATGCCGAAAACAATAAAAAGTCTCAGACTACAGACATTTCTTAAATGGTTCCAAACAAAACCCAAATCCTTTAGGCCAGGCAGGCCTCAAAAAATCTATCTTTTACATGACAATATTTAGCATTTTACCTAACCAGTGAAATATGATCAATCACCAACAATAAGAAACGGTAGTGCCGATGAAGTGATAGTGTTAAATAAAGATTCATCGCTGTTATTTATGCCCATCATTACACTTAAATGAACCATATTTTTTTCTTGAGACTCATTGTGTAGCAGAGAAAACTTGAGTTAAGCACCTAATAGAACGTCAGGATGATAATACTTTCTCTACTTTTTTTGGACTTGACAAGTTTTCGACTCGTGATGCAACGCCTGACTTTCTTACAGAGGCTAATTCACCAGAAGCCCCGCCGAGGCGAACAGATCTTATCAAGCCCGAACATGCCGAGCGGGAGAAAGCAATCATAGCATGAGGTCCGGGCAGGAAGCCGAGCGGAGAAATAATGTTTAATGAAGTGACACGGTGAGCATGTCAGAGCTGCGGTCCTAGGGCAAGGTGTGACATATCATCCCAGGCACTCATTAGGTTTGGTCCGGGTCTGTATTATCCTCGCTCCTATATTGGATAATACAGACCCGGACTCTTCGGATATAGGACTCTTCGGCTCCTATATTGGAACCTATTCAATCCGGTTTACATTAATGAACTGTCTGAACTATTAGGAACGATGGAACCTAGAATTTTATCTTACATGGGTGTGATAGCTGAGTGGGATAGCTCAGTGGTAGGGTGATTTCAATGCTCAAGGTCTCAGATTCGAATCCCGGCTTATTGCAGATAATTAATTTTATTCTGTTTCATCGGCCGTGAATCGGCCCTGGGTCGGAGACACCCAACCTCTACAAAGTAGGAACTCTTAATTAAATAATTAATCAAAGGGAAAAGACCACCTTCATGAATTATAGGTATAAGGGTTTTTTTTAACATGTACGAGAACTGTGCTTTAAGTTTAAATTTGCTGCTAAAAAACATATATGCATATTTTGGAAAAAACCTACTACATATTTTGAACAGTTATCATTATAAGTTTTTACAAATCAAAGCAAAAGGGTTCTTTTTTCATTTTATTAGAATTTTTCCTGTGGTGATACCATTGTTCATAGATTCTTCCCTTATTTAAATCTTCGTAAATTATGAAACCAGGGTATTAAAAACTTATAAATAATTTTGAACTTCATTAAAAAATGGTTCATAAGCTTGCAAGGTGTACGTTATATTCATAATCTGGACAAACCACTTCGACATTAATAGAATCTCATAGCTTTTACATCCACCGATTCAAAGAAAATCCTCTGAAAATCCTGCTCCTCATACAGAATCCCATTTCTCGTCAAATAGGATCAATTCCTATTGGTCTTGCGGAAAGTTTTCGTTTGATCAACCCTGTTGAAGGCCTTAGACCGAACGTCGGAAATTAAAAAAATAAATATACTTATTAAATTGTTTTTGACTGATCACCACAACCAATATTCTCTTCAATTATTCACTTTAATTAACCATCAATCCACAATTAAGAACCCCATTTCGTTTGTAAAAGTGTGGAGTCTGAAGGAACTGAGCCAAATGTCAAACGATTGAGCTTAATTATGAACGTTTTACTAAGCAGCAAGCCCAAATTAGTTTGAGGAATCACATTGGGAGAGAGGACAGTTCATTATGTAAGTGGGGAACGTGCGAACTCCAATAGTGTACTCGGCTTCCAATAATCAATTCTCTCTTTCTGTTATTAATTTCGTTTTCATTATATTTATCTGTTTCATTAGCCGTGAGGCGACCCTGGGTCGGTAGACCCTCCTGGGGTACACCCAACGTCTATAAAGTGGTTACGCTTAATTAAATAATTAATTAATGGGAAAAACGTGACGGTTGAGCAGTGCTTTCCTTAAATAGTACTGAACCCAGGACCCTTTATGGGTTATAGTAGTACAGGTTTTCTTTTTTATATTGATAATATTAACATGAAACTTAAAATTTTTATCAAGCTTAAAAAACCCGAAAGTGAAATATAAAAAAATATAGCGGCTTCTCTTATCACTGAAAAATCTAAATGCGGCCTCTAGAGATGAAAAAAATCTACTAGATATCAATTCACTTCATCGATCGATTGATTGATAGCCTACGGATACTTTATCAATCTAAAAGAAAGCAAGTCAGTTCGAGAGATCAATATCATAATGTTTCTATAACTCTATCATAATGAACCTAACTCTATTTTGTTTGTATTTTTTTTTCTTCTCTTACAGCCATTATTTACTTCTTTCCAAATTGTTTTTCACAGTTTTTTCTTACCTACAGCGTCATCCATCATATGTATACTTTTCTCCTTTCCGTTATGTCTAGCGTCTTAACTACTTGCCATGTTAATTCTCAATCCCTTCCTGCTCACTATGACGAATTTCTCCAATATTTCACCTGTAACTTCTACCACATTATTGCAGTCTCTGAAACATGGCTTAAGCCTTATATCCCTTCCTCTTCCGTTTCCTTACCTGATTATACCTTCATCCGTCATGACCGGGTTTCCCGGACTGGCGGAGGTGTTGGTCTCTATGTTCATAATAGCCTGAAACCCCGTATTCTAGATATTTCATCCCCTTCCAATCATCCTCACATTGAATTCCTCTTCGCTGAAATTTCTTGTAAAGCACATCCTCTCCTTTATGTGGTCGTATATCGCCCTCCTTTGACTCCTTTTGACTCATCCTTCGAATCAACCTTGTACAATTATGTCCCTTTCTATAATAACATCATAATTTCCGGTGATCTTAATACCAACCTCCTCACAGAATCCAACAACAAACGCTATTTGGAAAATCTCTTCTTCTCCCTCAACCTTTTTATTGTTCCTTTCGCTCCTACACACCATACTTGTTGGTCTGACACCTGGCTGGACTTGCATATCATCGATTCAGAGCAGAAACTCTTGTCCTGTTCTCAATTACCCGTTCCTTTCCTTTCTTCTCATGATCTCATCAAATTATCGTACGATATCCAAACTCCCACGTTTCTTCCTAAAACCATAACTTTCCGCAATCTTGACAACCTCACCCGTGATAAAATCCTACCGGACCTTGAAACCCTAAACTGGAACGATATTTATTCCTGTACCTCTATTGATCATATGGTAGACATCCTCACTTCTAATCTTATCCATATTCTTGACATACATGCTCCTATCAAAACCTCAACCTTCCGTCGCCAACCTGCTCCTTGGATGTGTCAAGAAATCCGCGACATGCAAAAGAGACGTGAGGCAGCCCGTAGACGCTTCAGACGAACTCGACTAGCAGATGACTATCAAGTCTATAGGGTACTCCGTAACTTGACACAAACAACGATCAGGAAAGCGAAATCAAACTTCTTTAACGAAACTCTCGCTTCTGCTCCTGATTCTAAATCAATATGGCTAACCCTTCGTAAACTCTCTCTTTGTAAATCCTCTTCCTCACCGTTCTACCCGGTATCACCCGATGAACTAAATTCCTACTTTATATCTTCCACCACCAGCAACAGTTTACCCACCTCTCACCAGTTTTCCTTATCACCCTCATTTAACAGTGATAACTTCTATTTCTCCAACATCTCACCGACCGACCTTATTTCCTCTATAATGAAATCACACACAAACTCCATCGGACTTGATGGGATACCAGTCAAACTATTAAAATTATGCCTTCCCGAAGTCGTTCCAGTTCTCCTTTTCATCTATAATTTTTCCCTCCAGAACTCAGTTTTTCCAACTGCTTGGAAAAAAGCATTAGTCAGACCTATCAACAAAATTCCCAATCCTACCTCTCCTAAAGACTACCGCCCAATCTCCATTCTTTCTAACCTTTCTAAACCTCTGGAAAGAATAGCTCAATCCCAAATCTCTAAATTCCTTGAAAACTCAAAACTACTCGATCCTCTCCAATCTGGTTTCCGACCTGGCTTCTCCACACAATCCTCCCTACTAAAAATTACCAATGACTTACATACCGCAATGGACGAAAAAATGTTAACTGTATTAATACTTCTCGACTTTTCCAAAGCTTTTGACTCCTTAGACCACTCTATACTCTATACTAAATTAAAATCCCTATCCTTCTCCAACAGCTCTATCCTCTGGTTACAGTCTTTCCTATCCGACAGAACTCAAGCAGTCAGCATTCCAAACCAACCCCTATCTTCCTTTCTTACACTGTCCTCTGGAGTGGCCCAGGGTTCGAGCATTTCCCCTCTCCTTTTCAACTCCTACATAAATGATCTTTCCAAATCCATCTACCACTGTTCACATCATTTATACGCTGATGACACCCAAATATATTTTTCCTTTCATCCTTCTGAGCTACTAGTCGCGTTCGCCAATATTCAGGCTGACCTAGATAGGATCAGTGCCTGGGCAAGTCTGAATAATTTAAATCTAAATGCGATGAAAACTCAGGCCATTATTATAGGTTCCAGTCCTATTCTTAAATCCATCTCCTTCCTTCCTCCTTTAGTCATCAACGATCATCCTGTCACATTCAGTTCATCCGTTAAAAACCTAGGAATCACCATAGACGAAAACCTCTCCTGGAAACCCCATATTGCCCTCATCTCCCGTAAGTCAATAGGTACCCTTAAGCTATTTCATCGCTCCCGCCACCTACTCCCACAACCCATCCGCAAGCTCCTTGTATCCTCTCTCATTTTCCCCCACTTTGACTACGGCTGTGTGGTGTACGGAGGCATCCCAATGGTACTCGAGGATAGATTGAAGCGACTCATGAATACGTGCTTAAGATTTGTCTTCGGTACATCAAAGCGATCTCATGTGTCCCACCTTTACGACGAGTTAAAGTGGCTCTTCCCTTCTTTCCGCAGACAATATTTCCTCGGATCTTTCCTATTCCAAACAATCAACACTAGACACCCTTCTTACATCTACAGTCTCCTACAGTTTAAACCCGTGGTCCACTCCCAGAAAACAAGATCCCGTGTTTCCGACCTTTATATCCCTTCCCATAGAACTAAGACGTTTGAATATTCCTTTATTTCCCGATCCACAGCCTTCTGGAATTCCTTGCCATCTGAAATCCGTCATGCCTCTTCCTTGTCCTCATTTAAATATCATCTTTACCAATTCCTTCTCACATCCCAAAATGACGTTATACAATAAAATAAATATTGTGAAATAGATTTTGACTGAGGTGAATGATTGATAAAATTTATTGTCTTAATTTTAAAAATCAACCCATGCTTATTTTATTTTATTTTTATCTTCATTTAAATAATGTTGTTTTTTTTTTATTTCGTTTTTTCTCAAAATTTTATTTTATTTTTACTTGTTTTAATTTAATTTCACTGAAGATACTGTATATATTCTTTAATATTGATTAATGTAATTTTTGGCCAGATGTAGTTTTAATTTTTTTGTTCATATCTGTTATACATAAGGGACCTTGTCCCAGAATAAAGTTTACTTTCTATCTATCTATCTATCTATCTATAACTATTAGAACATGTTACAGGAACATCCATGATATACTTTTTTTTTATACTCTCCTTCCTCAACTTTTAGGCTATACGAGGTTAACCCGGGACAGGAGGTGATGGCGGAGAATTAATGCCAGAGTTAAAAGATATTTACAACTGTATTAATAAATAAAATACATTTAGTAAATTTGATAACAGAAAATAATAACATGAAATCACTTGTTAAGAAACTACCAACTGGTAGCACTCTAAAAAAAATATGTATTTACAATAGGAGATCTCGAGACCATCTTCCTTTCAGACGTCTCGGAGGATTATCAGGGATAGAAGAGGAAACAAGGTTAGAGACGAGAGGATTCGGATGGTTCTGAAGTTTATTATAGAAGGATTGGTATCTGGATTGGGCCAAATCGGAAACATAAGGAACATTAAGGTCGTTATGGATTATTTTATTGGTGACAAAGCAAGGAGCATTGAGGATTTTCCGAATGATTTTGGATTGTAAGGATTGGATACGAGAGGAATTCGATGGCTTTGTGGAGCTCAACTCCGTAAGTCCAAATAGGTCTTACTGTAATTAACTGGTAATAAGTAAGCTTAGAGCGTTTGTCTAGTAACTGTTGGAGTAGTCGGAAACGTCGAGCGGTTTCTTATCGTTTCAGTCTGGTATGAGGATTCCAAGTTAGACGTTTGTCCAACGGGATTCTAAGGTATCGGATTTGTTCAACAGCGATAAGTGGGGTGTTATTAAAGGATACTGTAGAGCAAGAGGTTGGACAAGAACTAAAAATAATTTTATGAAATGATGCAAGTTATGCATTTTCTTTCAGATATCCAAGCAACGCGGTGTCGTGCACACGCGTCAGCCCGCTCGGCCACCCCGTCCCTCCATTCATGCCGTACTATATAATATAAAACTGTTGACTTACCTGAGTTCCTGTAAGAGGGCTTCTCCCTGGGCTACGGTGGACAGGGCCGCCTCGAGGCAGGACAGCCGCTGCTGGGACGCCGCCTCCAGCTGCCGCTCGGCCGCCTCTACTGTCTCCGCCCCCGGCCCATCGGTCTCCGAGCTAAGGTCTTCAGCCCACTCGCTTAGCTGAAAAACATAAAACATCATCGTTAGGTGTATATATATAAAACACTATTAATAGCAGTGGTCTTATAGTTTAAAGTTGTGTGTTGAGCGTTATGCATTATCTGAAATAAATAAGATATTTAGCGAGTCTGAAGATTCGATGCCACTGGCACCAATCATTTTCTACGTACTTGTCAAAATACGTATGATATGGAAAAAATCAACTATGCCAATAATTCTATTTAAATAAAAAAAAATCTTACAAGGCTCAATACACTTTAACGTTTTAAAATATAATTATTTGGATGGCATCCATATTCATCTACTATCACCTTTTCTCTACTCCTACAACGTTTCATGCGAATATTCCATTGTTTGAAACATTGCTGGAAGTCAGGTCATGAATGAAGATTAATACTTCAACCTTCAGTATTCCAGTAATGGTGAACAACCCCATGAATATCGAAAAAAATAATCATCAAAGCTATAAATTATGATTTTCATATTAGAGCTATTTTGAAGTTGGACTCTTCCAATGCATGGATTGGCGCTTTGCTTCAGAATCGTAACTAAAAACCGTGATTCGTCAATCTACATTGAAAGGGAAAAGACCTGAATCCGTCGAAGCAGTAAGGGAGAAAGCAAAGCGCGTCCTGAAGGAGCTGAAAAATAAGACTTCCAGGATCATTTCATACGATGATAGATTTGCATGGGAAGTTGCGGTGTGTACTGAAGGTGGCAATAAGTAAATATGAATGAAACAAAAATAAATAATTTGCAAAATCATTGTGGTTATTAAACAGTCACACTTCGTAGATGAAATGGACCAAGTCAATAGTTTTTTTCTTTTCATTCATATATACTACCCAGAAAATAGTGATCCTTAGTCATGATAATGTCGGAAAGAGAGTATCAGAAAAGATCAAGATTTGTCAGGAGAGGTAGCAAAGACCACAACCCAGACGATATGATCTGCTGTGTTGAGATTTTTAAGCTGTCAGAAAGAGTTGTAAAAGAAGGACTGAAAGCAGTTTTCCTCAACACAGCACAGAAAGTTTTTAAACATGGTTTAACACTTGAGCATAACCTTTGACCGTGGTCTGTGTAGGTATAATAGTCCGTGGTACAGACCACTTTTTATCAAATTATTGACATCCGCCTGAAACTTCGGAAATAGCTTGATCTCATCGTAACCTACAACTATTTTATTTACGAAAACTCTTGGAATCGGGGCGTTTTTAATCTGGAGGATGACAAACTTTGTACATTTAATTAGGTACTAAAAACTCGTATATACTCATTTGCTTTCCACTTGGATCGCAAGCTAATTTGATCACAAAATCGAGAAAAAGGGTGACCTACAAAAACATTTGGTCGCTAGGCATATAAAACCTCGTTATTTGGACATTATAGGAGTGTAGGTCAAGCTAAGCGGGTCAACAGTTTTAAAGACCACCTTTTTTTCTCGAGTTTGTGCTCAAATTATCTTACGATTCAAAGTGAAAAGAAAATGGGTATTTGTATCTGTACCTATGTGCCTAATTAAATAAACAAAGTTTGACGATTTCCAGTTTAAAAACGACACAATCCCGAGAAATTTCGTAAATAGAATATTTGTAGGTTACGATGAGATGAAGCTATTCCCGAAGTTTCAGGCGGATGTTAATCATTTGATAAAAAGGAGTCTGTACCACGTACTATAAGAATGTATCCGTCAAAAGCCGAGAAAGTGAACAATTCTAAAATAATAATAGTTTTTTATTAAAAAAGGCATAATACAAAGTAAAATGCAAAAGAAGGTGTTGTTAACATAAATCATGCCCTTGTTTACGTTGAGAATTAATGTCCTATTTTGAGAACAGTTAGTGACAAACAAACTATGATATTTAAATAAAATTTTAAACAATGATACGTAATTACTATTAATAACACATGACTCACGAGAACAGATGCCGTACTCAAATATCGATAGATCTTTTCCCAGGGCGGGCATGTCGAGTAAATGCCCACATTGCAGCATCGACAGCAACAAATCCTTCGGAGCATTCTAAACTGACTAATTGTAAGTTCCGATTTGGTGAGAATAGTTATCGCCCTGGCCTTGCTACCGCTGTCATATCGCCTGCTCTAGTTAGCTTCATCCTTGCCAATGTTTATTCATTAAAGGTAGAACAATAAGGTGCTGCAGTCCGAACTATTAATGTAAGCACACAACTACTAATGAAAATCGCAAAAGAAATAAACTCGAATGCGAACAATCGTACTAACAGTTAAAGTGAAAAAAACAAAACAAAAGCCTGTCAAAGGATGTTCATTATTATCCAAAGTGATCTAAAACATTAACATTGAATGTGCCGCAAAGCAAAGACGATTCGATCCCGTACGGGCGTTATCGTTATAAGAAATCGACAACTTCGATTTTTTCCCTTCATGGAAACTAATATTTTTTAACATGTTAAGACTAGGTAAGAGACTGACCAGACAAATACAAGAATAAGAGCATATTGGTATTAATTTATCGCTTTATGATAAACATATTATGAACAAAGAATGGTACAATTGGTTTCCAAACGAAAGATCCATGACTATAAGTGGTATTTTATGAACTTAAGATATGTGAGCAAGGCTTTAAATTCTATGCCACAGCCTCCAGCAAGCATAGAGGGTCGCTCCTTTATTGGTCAGCGAGTCCATCGAATTCAGCTGGGAAGAACTTTCGAGTAATTTTCACCAACCATCCTTACACCTCCCTCCCGTGGGAAGCTCCCTACGCGCTAATGAGAACCGCACGGGGGGGGGGAGGTTTCTCATTACCGCCTTCTTATTAAAGTAAAGTATCGGACCTAAAGAGACGTGTCAACTGGAGAATTTAAACGGTTACACAATTCCAAATTGTGTGTTATTTATACTGCAATTTGTGATATTTATACATTTGAGAAGAATCTAGGAAGACATTGTTGTTATTAGCATTCTAAGTTAGGCTTTAAAAATATTTTTATCTTCAATTCTTAATTGAGAAATATTACAATAAGCCACATCTAAGGACAATAGTAATAGTGATAGAAGAGTAGCTCATTCACACTGTGTACAATAAATAAACAGCTAAATAATAAAACTAAAATTAAATGTATATAAACTAAGAGAAACTAAAATAAACAAAAAGAAAATAACTACATAAATACATATATGCTTTTATACAATTTTTTCAAAATGCATTCACTCAAGATCTCCGTGCCAAGCCTTTACCCCCACTCGAGGAAGGAAAGGCAGGACTCTAAGAGATCCCAGCGCCTTTTACTCAGCCCCGTTACTAATATCAAGGAACAGAGGAGGATGAGCTCTATTTTATTAAATATAAAATTTGTTCTCTACTATTAGATTCTGTATACCTTCTATACCTATCTCCGAATAACTTTAATTTCTGTATGAGAGCTTCCATTTTAGCAAAATGTGTTTGATTTAACTCATTGCTGAATACTCATCTAATATATTATTATTATTATTGAAATTCGGAACTATATTATGAGAAGTAATTGAATTAACATATAAATAAATAATTACATAAAAACTTATAACTTAAAGATAATGAAAATTCAATTAGAACATCAGTTAAATCACACCTAACTCCATTTTTATTATAATAAGTGGTCTAAGAAATGAACTATTATTATTAAATTCAGAGCACTAACAGAAAGTGCCCATTCTGAGCGAGGAAAAGGCCGATAAAAAAAGTGGGTCATGATCCAGAGGTATATTTACTTAATTAACAAAAGAAAGAGTGCTTCAATTACGGAACCAATTTAGGGATATTTGCATAGCAATGTTATCATTAAACAATTTCAGATACTGCGGCTATATGGGGAACATGTAACTACTTTGTAAAGATATTAAAAAACAATCACTTCTCTATTACCTTATCCTTCTTTTGCATAATTACAGTGGATGGAAAATGGTAAATTGAATGAAATCGTTTATGAAAGGAATCCTGAAAAATCTTGTAAGATAATAGGGAACTCGATTTTAATTTGAAAATTCAAAATTGAAATATGGACTAATTTAAGGTTTAAATGGTCTTTCCTCAGGCTTAAATAGATAAAATTAAAATATAAAAGATATTCACTGAAAAAAATCTTAAGAATCAGAAAAAAAAAAAAGTTTTCATTTGAAATTATATTTCAATTTTCCATGTATGATTTCTGTTCTAGCTTTACCGTCAGAATTAATTTAATACCGATAATAAAGTCAACGATGAAAACTTAAAATTTTAAAGCTTGAATTTTCGCTAGAATTAGAGTAAATAAATTCCGCCAAGCGCTGAATTTACTACATTTTTTTTTTATTCTTTATTCAACAAAAATAATTCCAAATTAATTTCTGCACATTCAAATAAAAATAAATCTGAATATTAATGAATCAATTGAACAATATCTTCGTCCGATTATCTCGTATAAAATAATGAGACATGTTCTGCATAAATTATTTTGATCATGCTCAAAAATAGTAACATAGTTTAAAGAAAAAAATAAAATACAGAAAACCCAAGTTTTCTGATTGATACTTTTGACATAAGCTATCCAATTCTTATTTAGAAAATTAATACACAGTAAAATCTCGCATATTAGTTCCCGCACGTAACCGAGGCATTGCAGGCTGGGCGAAATATCCGAATAATAAAAAATCAAAATGCAAACAAAAATTTAATCTATGTTATAGGCCACTTATCTACATCTTTAAATAAATGAATTTGGTTTAAACATAAAAATTAATGTTCTGTTTTTAATAGTATTCACGAAATCAGTTATTTATTTTTTGTCTCGTAGAATTAGGGTTATCGTTGCATGATGAAAAACTTGAAACACTTTTATTTCTTTACCCTGTTAGTACCCATGACTTAACAGTTCAAAATTTGCTGTAGTAAAAAACATCGTTCTCTTTCATATGTTAGTGAACAGTTTGAATAATTTAGTTTTGATGATAGTATAGTCAACTCCGGGAAAGATTTTTTCTCTCCTTTTTACCACCAGTTAAATGGTGATCTACTGTACTACTTCAAACAATTATTAATTTTAATACAATAGACAAATTTATTTCGGAAACGAATGATAGAAAGTAATATTCGCCTTAACCATAGGATATAGGAGAAAAAAAGGAAACCGTTGAAACTCAATAGGGACATAAGGGCACAATAAAATAAGCGATTGGCAGTAAGGATGAAATGTTTTTCCTTTAACAAGACCGTTTTTAGTTTCAAATTGGACAAAGGCATGGCAAAAGGGTTGGCAATAGAGGAAAGAGATCATTTACCATGTTTTGTAGAAATAGCCTGGCCTTGGGGTCTCATCAATAAATCTAACACAAAATTAATTTACTGTCGGTGTAATCTGGGCATAAATAATTAAATAATTAAATTTACGTTATATACGTTTTCCGTCTCAGAAAGAGAGATAGATTTCGGTAAATTAGGTATCAAACGAAAGAGAAATTCATGGAGAAACACAATTAAAATTAATAAAAATTCATTAAAAAAATTACTTTCACAAAGTTCAGGAGGTCACAAAAATCAGATGAAATGTCAACGGATCGAGACACAATAAATTGTGTTTTGAAGATTTTAAAAGGTTCATCAAGCCCCGGTATAGTTGGGGGCGATGTGATCGAAAGGGTTATGTGGACAACACCGAGTTATCCGACAACCTGATAGAAGATAATTAGATAAAATAATTACGAGTTCGCGTCTCGGTGCCGAGGGGACTTTTAACACCTCCATTAATAAATAACCCGCCTTCACCCTCTGGCTAAAAGGCGAGGAAGGTAAGGACGAAAAAAAAAAAGACCTGGTAGAGTTCGAGAAGAACTATCAGGTCCTGCGTTTTAAATTCCAGATTGCGATAAATCGTAATTCTCGCTAAATATCTCTTAGATGCTCCATAGCTGTTAAATGCCATGGGATACTTATTAAGCTTTTAGCGGGTCCAAAAATGGATGAGTATAGGCTTATTGCTTAGCTATTTTTTATTTATTTATTTATTTATATGATATTTACAACTGTATACAAAAAAGACATCTAGAAAATTCGCACATGGATATAATGACATGAAACACATGTTGAGAAACTACCCATTGGTAGCACTCTAATAATATGTCTATATTAGGAGATCACGTGGCCATCTTCTTTTCAGACGCCTCGGAGGGTTATCAGGAATTGAATAGGAAGCAAGGTTAGAAATAAGAGGGTTGGGATGGTTATGAAGTTTATTATGGAAGGACAAATATCTGGATTGGGCCAAATCTGATACATAAAGAACATTAAGGTCATTATGGATGATTTTATTTATAAAAAAGTAAGGAGCATTGAGGGTTTCACGAAGGATTTGGATTGTAAAAATCGGATACGGGAGGAATTTGAAGGTTTGGTGGAGCCCCATAGCTGAACTCCGTAAATCCAAATAGGCCTTATTATAGTCATGTACATGAGTCTTTTGTAATTAATTGGAAGGTTAGAGCGTTTGTCTAGTAAGTGTTGAAGTAGTCGGAAACGTTGAGCTGTTTCTTGTCGTTTCAGTCTGGTATCAGGATTCCAAGTTAGACGTTTGTCCAGATGGAGTCCTAGGTAGCTTAACTATTAAACTAGAGGGTATTTTCAAATGGAACAAACTAATCCCTTAATGAGTAAATTATTACTGTGCTTTAAATTTTGTTTGTTGAATATACTGTTTTCATAATATTATTAGCTAATAATGTAAAGTTTAATAAAAATTAAGGTACCGTAGATAAAACTTGAAACCAGAATTGAAAGGTCGCAAGCTGGTAGAAGACGATGGGTTCGGTAACGGTACGATGCGGTGTGGGCGAAACGTGCGCCGCGGTTGCATGTACTCAATAGGGCCAATTCAATCATTCCAAGCGTATCCTTTCAATCATCTTTCATGGCTAATTATCATTCACTTGAACATTTGAATGAATAATTTATCTACGCGAAGGCGCATAAATTACATTTATTTATGAATTTTCATTAATTTTTTTTGCCCTTTGAATGATATATACGTATTACTTTACTGAGCACGTTTCGAAAAAATATACAGGATCAAGGAATAAATAATGTCATTCAGAAGACCAGTCTTCAATAAATATTTAAATTTAATTTATCTTTTCATTAATATTATTGCCTATAAGACAGTATAATAAATAATGCATTTAGTTTCGATTATTATTTATTAATGAACGTTTCTGAAGATCTGAACTTCTCCTTGTAAGCATATGATATTCCCCAAAAATTGGAGGAAAATAATTCCAAGGTGCTAATAAGTTTAGTCAATGTCGGTTGTAATAATAATAATAATAACTAAATAAATAATAACCCCTATTTGAGACAGGGTGGTGAATGAAAGTTGTGTGATATGAACGCCGCATCAGATATTTTCGATTAACTTATACATTTATTTTTAAAACTTATTTATATTAACTAAAACACAGGAAGCAAACTTATTGAAGAACAATCGTTTTATGTAAACTTATTTTTACTAATTATATTGAATTTAAAATTATATCATATAATGATGACAGAAAATTGTCAGGAATTTTCAGTTATTGATAGCATATTCTGATATATTCACAGCAGAGATTATTATTTTTTTATGAATTTAATGTCATCGATGAAATAAAGTGAATAGAATAACCAACAGAAGTGTGTTTGACATTGATTCAATCGAACACTCAGATAGAGGCGTCGATGTCATATAAGAGATGCCATTAATCCTTACAATTCATCAGTAGAATACTTATCCATCTCTAAATATATCATATAATTTTCATCATAATCTTTATTAGCTAATAAGAGATAAAACACAAAAATCAAAAATATGAAAACATGACAAGAAAAAAAAATTTAGTTCATTTTAAGCAAGTAGAATACGTTTGAGGCATTAAACAACTGCTATACACAATGCAGTTCCCCACTGTCGAAAATAGGGCACGAATTTGAAAATAACTTTTTTTAAACAGATCATTCCTAAACAATCAAATCGAGAATGTTGTTTCGATAACGAACAAATGCACTTACTCATAAATATTTCCAAACTCTGAAGAAAACCAACTGCAAATGCTTATTTATTTTCAGTCGGGCCACGATGGTTTACAGATAGCAGAGTTTATGAGATTACAGAACAACACAAATACTTCAGGTTGACATCGCTTCAATCCAGCACTCGGATAGGGGCGTCGATGTCTTATAAGAGATGTCATTAATTAGTCCTAGCACTTAATGACTTCCTTTAAGAAACGACAATCGTTCTAATGAACCTTGTACGAGTGTTAGAACGTGGTCCGGTCCTGTCTTTATTGTGCACAACACGTTTTACAATACACTTGGAAAAAGCAAAAAAAAAAAAAAAAAAAAAAAACGGGCATAGGTCTATCACATATCCGCAGAAATTTAAAATTGTAATGCTTATTATTATTGTTAAGATCATCAGGTGATGATCATTAAAGATGTGTATAAAAAATGAAAATAATTCAAGTCATTTTCTTTAAGCGAAAAAAATGACATATTTTCTCGCAACCAAGACACAAATCAGCGAATGAACGATAGCTCTTACCGCAGCTCGGTGTGCGGTGAGAAATAACGTTATCAAATCACACTAAAAATTGGTCAAATTTATTCGCTCATTATACTTCCACATTCAACCCTAATCCAAAAATCTTTTATATCCTATAATCTTTTATGACTTATTTGTACCGATTCTTGAATTCTGGCATTCAATTATCTTTAAAATCGAAAGATTTCACGTTTTCACGTTTTCACGTTCTATCTCCAGAGAGAGACGTAATACTGCGTTAACAGCGAAAGCGCATATGTTCACGATCATTATGCCTATACTGAATTGACTAAGTAATTTCCAATCATCGTCTAAATTAAGGAACATAAAGTTGATTTTATGCCATTTGTAATCAATTCCTTTCATTATTTGGGCAAACAAAATAAAATTTAAACACCTAATGTTTTTGTACAACTAGAATAATTTACATAATGGTACTAAAAACAAAAGACAAATATTTATTTATTTTATTTTTTTTATTTCTTTTTTGTATGGAGCACTTAAAACCTACCGGTCTTTTATCAATCACTCCTATATGACAGCCAAGATTTCACTACTTAACCCTTTCGATTTGTTATCTAATCTAGCTGTCAAAAGCGACAGTAAGAGAGAGGTACGTTGCTTTCCTGACTGTCTAAATAATTTAAATTGTTCTTCAAAGAAAGTAACACATCATCATGAAAAATACTTTATAACTATTAAAATTGTCTTTATGTTCTCAGGAAGTTATTTTATTTTTGTTTTATAATCATCCCTGAAACTCATAAATTATTTTCAAAATTTATGCAACAGATGATTATAAAATCTACGGATAAAGTAAAATTAATTATAATAACCTAATAATTTTTTTTTTTTATTGAGTATTACAACAATCTGTCTCTTGGACATTGGTTATAGTGAGGTAGGATGACATTCACACTATATGTACAAAAAAAAATAAAATAAATAGAAACAAAATAATTATCAAAAGTATATACAATAGATAATAAAATAAAATAACCTAAAAAATAAGAAAATTAAAAACAAGCAAAAAAAAAAACAACACATGATTACCTACATACGATCAGGGGAGGGAACTCCAGGAGAACGCTGCGCTACTCTCACAATCGCGTCACTGGTAGTAAAGCCAGCGGAGATTGATCGGGAGCACTTTAGCCACATACACTCATGTCTTGAGTGAAGAATCTGGCCATTGCCAGAACTCCAGTATATACAATCTACAAAAGGTCGCGAGGCCACTGCCGTCTCAACCTTCTTGGAGGATTATAGGGATGGGAGGTACTTGATAGGGATTATGCAAGAGGATTTGGGTGGTACGTAAGGTTCTGGTGAAATTTGGAGAATTTTTCTGGGATAAGGTCGAGGACAAATGGGATGTTGAGGTCATGATGTAGGGTTTTGTTGGTTACATAGAAAGGAGCATCGACTATTGTTCGAAGGACTTTTGACTGGAAGGATTGGATGCGCTTGATGTTAGAAAATTTTGCTGATTTCCACAGTTCTAGTCCGTAAGTCCAAATAGGTTTCAGTATCGTCTTGTAGATCTGTAGCTTGTTTTCAATGGAAAGTTTAGATTTTCTATTTAGTAGTCGGTATAGTTGGCCGTATAATAAGCTAATAATAGACAAAAAATTTGTAATATTCAAGCTGAATTAAAAAAAAAACAAAAAAACTAAGGTGAGTGCTTCAGACCACACGGTAAAAGTGAAAACATCAATAAGGCGAGATTAACAATATGAAATATAATATAAATAATGGCTCATTATAAAGAAGATGAAATGCTGAACATTTCCCTCGCTTACAGTAAGCAGTTCCTTACAGTATCTTCAATAAAACTCGCTATAATTTGTTTTTCGACAATAGTTTTTCCCTTTTCGTCTCTCTAACACGGCGTCGCGTTAAGATATAATTTTTAATAATAGCTCAATACAGAGAGGATGAAATACTGAACAATTGCAATATGCAGGTCCGATTTTTAGTTTTTGAGATATTTTAATCCATATGCAAAAACACTTCAATTAGTCGACTCCAGCCGACTTTACCCGAGCGTTACACATCGTAAATCTGACGGCTCAATCTAATTCACTCTCCACAAAAAAATGCAAAATTCACCTAATATATAATTTTTGTGATAGACTCGTTTTCCCCCCTGTATCTAATAAGACAATAACATCTTTAAGAACTACTGAATAAATAAATTTATTTATTTGAGGACTAATGTTGCAATAATATGTCAAAACTTCTATAAGGGGAGAGGAATGAAAACTAAACATAAGATAATATGTTGGGGAAGAAGGCGCGCGCGGCTAGGCGAACATTTCAATATTCAATACATCTCTAGCGCATCCGTTAGACTAAATCCGACCGAAACGAGGAGAGTAGTAAACAGTGATTAATCCAGCAGCAATTAAAGTAGGATTTACTTGGATTACATCGATGGGGAACTAAGGACTTAGTTCATGGATACGCTAAGCGCTTAAGCTTGCATTAGAAGGAATATTAACCCATCAAATGCTAATGCTCAAATAGACGACAAATGGAAATAATCCAACTTGCATTTATTGTAAGCATGAAACAGATTTTTTTTCTCCGAACAGAAGGCAATACAAACTCCACCCTGATGTCATACACACGATCACCACAGTCGCAATAACATAACACTGTGGTTCCAATATCTGGCTGGGTCCACATCTGTTTATTACCACCCGTTTATTCAACACCCGTGCTCGGATACAATGGGTACCCATCCTCTGTAATTACAATTAATGTCATTCGTGCATGCGAATTCACGGAAATAAAACTAAAAAAGCAGAGTGTTATGAAAAATATTATTCTTTATTAGATTCAATAAATCTCATTTAGCTCGAAACTTTTTAATGCAATCATGAATGTTTAGATAGATTCACTCAGAGCCAAAACGGAAGAACTGTTTTTTTTTTAAATCAAAATTAGAAATTTCTATAATAAGTTTAAAATGTGTACTAACATGTTCTTTAGGCTTTGAAGTATATCATTTAAAGGTTTTCTATTGTAAAATTTTAATAATTTTGTTCAAAATTTGCGCAATTTAAATAATATGGTGCGAAATTGGATATAAATAATATTTACTACACAGTTACAATACTAATTGTGTTATCTTTTAAATATTATATAATAAATACATCGTTTCAGAAGATTTTAAATTAAAAAAAAAAAAAAAATAGGATATCCAGTATTATTAGGTAATTTATTTTCGGGTTTACACTTTCAAAAATTTACTGAAATTCAACAATTACAAA